GCACCAGAAGTGTTGGATGGAGTACCAGATGAAGCACCAGAAGTGTTTGAGGAAGCACCAGATGAAGCACCAGAAGTGTTTGAGGAAGCACCAGAAGTGTTGGATGGACTACCAGATGATGCACTAGTTTCAGATGATGCACCAGATGAAGCACCAGATGTGTTCGAGGAAGCACCAGATGAAGCACCAGAAGTGTTCGAGGAAGTAGCAGATGAAGCACCAGAAGTGTTCGAGGAAGCACCAGAGGTGTTAGATGGAGTACCAGATGAAGCACCAGATGTGTTCGAGGAAGCACCAGATGAAGCACCAGAAGTGTTTGAGGAAGCACCAGATGAAGCACCAGATGTGTTCGAGGAAGCACCAGATGAAGCACCAGAAGTGTTCGAGGAAGCACCAGAGGTGTTAGATGGAGTACCAGATGAAGCACCAGATGTGTTCGAGGAAGCACCAGATGAAGCACCAGAAGTGTTTGAGGAAGTAGCAGAGCTACTAGAAGATGATGAGGAGGAGCTGTATGGACATGCACCGCTTTCCACATCAGAAATGGAATAAACCCAGTCAGACCAGTTATCATGTAGAATAACGCTTGGAGTAACAACCATAATGTCTAATTGCGAGTCCAAAAGAATGTTGACCAAAACAATTCTCATTGGGTAGTATTGACCAGCATCAAAATGAACATAAGCAGTGACATCATCACCAGTAGTGAAAATGAGAGCTCCGATATCAGAGTTGTAAGGAATTTCGTCAGGCTGGCAACATGAAAATGCGTAACTGTTTCCGAACCAGACCATGGCACCGTCATTAACGTTCTTGATGGTAAATGCATACAAACCACTTTCTTGAGCGTAAAAGTAACCAGTCAATTGGTTGACATAACCGAGACCACTGTTGATCTTCACATCGTTGTAGATAGTATCAGTATGGATACCACCATGGATAGAGTAGTTTGGACTGGAGATACCGTGGGCAGTACCAATAACAGACTGCTCAGTGTAACTGTTGGCATAATACTTCGAGTTATTGACGTTACAGCACTCGTATTTGAAAAATGTAGCATGGAAACCGGGAGTGGTAGAAACGCGAGCTAGGTCAAAATTGCAACCAGTTGCAGATGAGTTACCAGTCAAAACAGCATGAGAATGAGTATATGTTGTGGAGGAGGTTAAAGCTTGACTCACCGTAGCAGTAGGTGAGGCAACAACAACCTCTTTAACGTAGTAAGTAGATCCAGCTGCATCGGTAGTTGGACTGTACATAACTGTATCGCTTGCTGCAATTACTGTAACAGTAGAAACAGAGGCATCATCAGTTCTAGTGGTAGATTTACAGCCTTCTATAGCACTGAGAGGGAAATTGTAAACATTTTGGAAGTTGTCAATGATATTACCGTTTGGATCCACAATTTGAAATTGCAATTGAGCATGCGCTTGGACGTTGAAGTAGACAACTCTAATTGGATATAAAAGACCAGCTTCAAGATAAATGTATGAAGAATGAGCGTGATCGCTTCTGACTCCTAATAGAACATCGTCGTATGAGTTGCTATCAGATTCTTGAGAGCATGCATCAAAAGCACCTTGGCCAATCCAAATAAATCCACCATCATTGATTTCATTGGCTGTCACTCTATGAACACCGCTTGCAGTTGCTATACCAAAAAAAATTAACTAGTTAGTATGAAGAAAAAATTGGGAATTATTGTAGTTCAGATATACATACGAGAATAATAACCTTTCAATTCGATAACAACGTTTTCCATGTTGATGTTGTACAGACCATAAAGATTCTGATTTCCACCGTTGAGAGAAAAATTTGGGGATGTAACTGCATTAGCAGTAGCTCTTATGGTGTTGAAAGAATAGCTCTCCTGAACCCAGGAGTCTTTCCAAAATGGTATAAAGTCACCCCATGGGTAGCTGTAGAAGGTAGCAGCAAAACCTGTAGTTTTTGGAACATCAGTGTTTAATTGCATTAATGCTCCGACACCGTCAACTGATTTAGACCAGACATTACGGTCGGCTATTGTTGTGTTCACGAGGGACAACAACAACGTTGCAGCCAAAAACACGTTGGAAAACATAACGAGTGACAAACAGGTGTTTTTGGTTGGATTGCTTAGATAAAAGAACAGAAAGAAGAGAACAGGGAAAGAAGTTGTAAGTTAAAAAATAAACTAACAGACATATCCAATTTGTCAACCTGTAAGAAAACAGAGGGGATATTTGTATATTTATAAGAAATACGATGGTACCAGTGATTTATGGAAACCCTTCTTGGAGCTGTGGGAATAGCCTCGAGTAGGATTATGGTTTTTAGCGGAGGCTGATCATCCACGAAACAATGTCTCGAGAGCAAATATAGCTGCAACCTTAATAGTATTGGTTGTCATGTTTTGAATGGAGCAGGAGTACAAAACAGAGTGAGAAGCTGTAGCATGGCAGTGATAGAGACCTGTGCTATTCTGGAGATGTTAAGTCGAACACGTAAATTGTGTAAACAGAATTTTGTTTTGGTAAATATAGATCTAGGGTGCCGGATGTGGCATTCATGTACAACCGCGTATTCATTTAAGCATCACCTCCACTCTCGTTTGTGTGATGCGGCTGCTGCATCCTTCTGCAACTGGGCTCTGAATATGGAAACGGAGTCTTCGTACGACGAAGCTGTGGCCATAAACTGCCAACCTGCTACAATGTGTCCCCGGTATATATGTCTTCAGCAGATCGTTACTCCACTGTTTTTGGCCAACGCATTTAGCACGCGCTGCGTGTGTCCGGCAGTATCGAGACATCACAGGAGAATATTTGTCCAATTGGGACATATTGCTGCAGCACCTGTATGGCCATGCGCGAGAACGCAAAATGTGCCGAGGCTTGAGCAAGACATTTGTTACGATGTCGTTTTTGCAAGGGTGGAGCGATGGAGTGATGGAGAACGAAGGGAAGAAAAAAGGTCTCATGGAAGTATTCGAGTAAACGTGACATAACAGGCAGTCGCGGTGGTGCATAGCTACCGGTGGGGTGTTTGCACACCTGCACCAAGAAGATCCCTTGGCCAAACGTAGAGATCGTGTCACGGTAGGTGCGTGGCGGTCGCTAATAACGGTATAGCTAGCTGCTTGGCAGATCGAGATGTGTGTTTTTTACGAGCCCTAGGTTACTAGAAGGGATTGGTGGTTCGTGTTTGTGTTGTTATGTTTTTGTTTGTTTTTCAGTTCTTTGTTTGTTTAGGTTTCGCCAATTTGGATTGTTTGCCCTTGATCTACTTTACCGAGAACGTCGTGTACCAGAAGTAGACCTGAGAAGGGCAATACTTTGTGCGTTGTCTTTTGCCTCCTAACATGGTAACAACCGCATGCGGTCCATGCTTTGTATCACCAGTCATGCTGTAGTGCCACCAGCGTAAGTGCAGACAAATAGAATCACGAGGTTTTGCAGCGGAGACACAAAGTCAAACTTTAGTAGAACAGACGTGAAACTAGTGCCCCCTCAGCAGATAGCGGTGATTAGGGCTATTGTAGCATTCCAGGGTTAAGCCACCGCACTAGTGCCGTCCCTTACAAGCCGGTTTTCTCTCTTCCGCAGTGACAGCCCGCCAAACCCACAATTCCGCAAAAAAATTTACAACCCGTCGCTAGGCACTTTTCCCTTTTCCTCCCCCTCCTCTTCCTCCTCCTCCTCCTTCTGCGGCTATTGTTGCTGCAGGTATCTGCGCTAGCGTCTGGGCTAGCTTCAATACAAGCTCCTGCTAGACTCCTGTCCTGCACCCTACTGCAGCGCGTCTAAAGTTTTTGCAGACAAAAAATCAGTTTGCCTTTGTCGGCAAAAGCTGGCCGCGCGCCACCTGGCAACCGTTGGTCGGTGGCCCCACCAGCCCGTTACCGCGCATGCGCTTGATCGCCTCGGCAGGTTTATACACCGGCATTGGCCAGGGCGCAACAGCCTGGACAGCTGCTGCCAACGCAGGGTCCTCAGAATGAGCCAACTTTTACGCCACCTGGCTGGTGGAACCAGCAGAATTGCCGAGCTGTGGCCAAAACAGGCAGATCTTTGTGACCGGACAAGCCAGGCTGTGGGACAATACGCTGTCCATCGCCAAAATGTGACGGGGCAGGAGCTTTGTTGTCAAGCAGGAGTAGTAACTGCGGCCTAGGAGGCTGCCAAGAGTCAAAGCGTAATTTTTTGGTATATCTACAGGAGTGCAATTGCTGGCATGTTCTCACGTGGGCTTTACTGTGATTCTGGTACCGATAGATAATCCTTTACTCTTTTTATTTACTTATCGTGAGCGAGAGGCTGATCAGTATTACTGTGTCTCATCATGGCGAAATGTTGTTGCTGGGACGAGGTTGGGGAAGTGAGGGAGCGAGGCTTATGCCTAATTTTGAGTAATCCACAATACTACTCAAAACCTGCCTTCTCGGGCCTACGCGCGGTGGCAGATCTTGCCGAAGTACAGCTATCGAGCTTTTGCCCTTAACTAATGTGGAGCCTGCATATCCCGCGGCATAGCTCCACCTGCAGCTAAAAAATGATGGGCTAGTTTTTGCTGCCATAATAGCATTCGCTATGATTACTTGAACAGGGTAACCTGCAGTCCTATTCAATAAGCGCGTCTGCTTAATATCTTGCAGCCGTTTCTGGCCAGTGCTATCTCCGCCGCGTGGGCCATATTCCAGGCTAAGAGAGGCCATTAACAAACATCCAAACTTGGACCCGCGTCTATCTGGACAAAAGTCTACATGTTTTTGTTTTACATCCTGTGTTTGGGGACTACCAATTTTGAAGAAAGCAGCAGAAGCATCAGGAGTTCACCTTGAAGGGGCATCCTCGTACTGCTCGGTGAGATTTAGGATAGTCAAAATTCAGCGTTTGAAAGGGCACGCTGGTTTTCTGCTCAATATTACAAAGTTTCACCCCCGTTTTGTATAAATTTCATTTGACAGTCGGTTTGCATGATCTTGAATCTCGGTATGGGCTGCAAACATGTTTTGCTGAGTCTAACGTTGCATTTTCCGCCGTATTGGCCCGGACCTTGATGCACTGCTCCGCATTGTAGCAGAATCAGTCTAAAGTGAATGCTCCTCTTCCCGTCATTTCTTTTTTTCCTTGCCAAGGAAATGACACAATGGAATCTTGCGAGAAATCTGCACTAATCCAAGAAAGGGCACGGAAGAAATGTTTGCTCTTCTAGAAGCTCCAAATGTTCTTCTTGATGTTTAAATATCTATGTGAAAGCTCAAGAGGTAGAGCAAGTAGAGCAGTTTCCTCGAACAGACGGTATACCGTGTCCGATGCGGACGTTCATTAGAACTTTTTTCAGAAAATTCATGCGCGCTATTCTGGACAACTGCTGGCGTAATATAATCCGCATCCAAGCTTTTGCAGCTAAATCAGTTCAGCCATGTAGTAACTGTTGAGATAAGATGCCGAAGTCAATAAGTATCGAGAGATAAGAGATAAGAATTTTATCATGATAAGGCTTCTTAGTAGTCTAAAACTGGAAAGTTAGCCGCCGTGATACATGTATAAAGGAAAGTCTAGCCCCCCTGATGAATGTATCATGGAAGGTTTAACCGAAGGTATAAGTATATTAATACAAGAGGTTTGTCCCTTGTATTTATGTTTGAGAGTATCAGTTTGTAGGTTAGTTATATTAGTTATATATTATTAACCAACAAACATAGTGTTAAAAGGTACTCCTAACAATGGATATTCCATCTAGAATAAACAGATTACAACATTATGTAGGAAGAAGCTAGAGGTGTGCGGGGTATAACATTATGTAATCTCAACTACCTTCTCATTTCCCTAGAGGATTCTAGATGAGAATATCACATTTGGTGACATTTTTAAAAGCAAGAGCGTGAAAAGAAAACAAACCTATATTGTGTGGCTAATTATTACCTACATAAAGAAGCATAAATTTGGAATTTTTGTGCAAGGTTGTATAGTGTAGTGGTTATCACTTTCGGTTTTGATCCGAACAACCCCGGTTCGAATCCGGGTACGACCTATAATTTTTTACCTTTAATTTGGATTATGCGCGTTCTTTGAGGACAAAGTGACGTTTTTTCTTTTTTCTTTTCTTTTCTGCCGCATTTTAAACAAAGCTATGAGGATGAAATGAGAAGAATTGTTTGCCTTTGCCAATACTACGATATTGTTAGCTGCTGGGTATAATCACACATATCAGAACCTCGAAAGCAAAATGGGGAAAATCAATCAGCCTAACACACAGATCAAATTAACCAATGTTTCTGTCGTGCGAATGAAGAAAGGCAAGAAGAGATTTGAACTCGCCTGTTACCAGAATAAGGTGCATGATTTCAAGTCGGGCGTTGAGAAGAACATAGATGATGTGTTACAGATTAATCAAGTTTTTATGAATGTTTCCAAGGGACAAGTTGCATCTAGTGAGGATCTCAAGGCTGCGTTCAATACGACGGACATTGACAGTATAGTTCAAGAGATTTTGAAAAAGGGTGAAATTCAACTAAGTGAAAAGGAGAGAGCACAGCAGAATGAAAAATTACACAATGAGATATTGAGCATAATATCTGCAAAATGTATCAATCCGAAAAGTAAAAAAAGGTACCCTCCCACAATGATAGATAAGGCTTTGAAGGAGTTGAAATTCAATTTTGTCAACGCTCGGAGCGGGAAATCGAAAGCTTTAGAAGCCATTAAACTACTCGTAGAAAAGCAAGTGATTCCTATAGCAAGAGCGAAGATGCGGGTCCAATTACGTATGAGTGACAAAGAGTACAAAAAGATTAGCACAGAGTTTCAGGCCGAATTCGTTTCAGTGCTAGAGTCAGAGGATTTGAAAGATGATGTGATTGATCTTGTTTTTCTAGTCGAGCCTGAAAACTACAAACAGTTGGTTGAAAAGTCTAAACAGATCAACGGGAAGCTCGAACTACTTGACACTGCGGTCATTCAGGAAGGTGAGACCAAGTTATAGATGTTGTCGTTGTATAGGCCCGGAACCCATAAAGTATATACACTTTTTAGTATCACATAGAGAACGAGTGATAATAATGAGGAATTTTTTTCCAGCATTTCGCGTAAGCAGGTTGAAATATGAAACTGCAGTTTTCGTGAAAAAGCTCAGGTACTCCTTTCACTACAGTGTTCCCCTCATCCTAGACGTTACTCTGCTCAGGGTCCTGTAATACTCAACGAATACCGCTGCAATCATGTCAATTGGAAATTTCCGCGATAACGTGAAAGAACTGGATCTGATTATAAAAAGGGATGGTAGAGAGCACATGCTCACATGTACGATGCTAGAGTTTTCGGACAAACTCATCATTCATTTGTCAATGAATGGGGAAACCGACATCTCGTATGACATTCAAATCCCAGAAAAGAACGACTTGAAAAAGCCACTACGAAGGTACGATTTTGACGAAGAGAAAGAGCAAGAAGAACTAGAGAATACAATAATCCCTATTGTTCTCATTGGGTCCGGGAATAACATGAAAATGCAAGTCCTCTCGTCGCAGATAGGTCACACGATAAGCCAACTTTCTAACAAAAACATAATTCTCAACATCAGCGGCAAGCTTTTTGGCCGGGCATACCTTGACGAGTACCGCCCTGGCGACTCTGTGCTTGTTCAACAGTGCTTGCACCTTGCCACTGAGACGTACCAATCTCAAAGACCAGCCGCTGACGTAAGCCCGAGTTGAGTCACGGCGGTTTTTCCTCATCTTTTTTTATTTTTATCACTGAAGGTGAGAAAGAGAGGGAAAAACTTCCAGCCAGAGTCAGATGAACAGAGTAAAGAAATCACATGCAAGATGCCTGTGTTTTTTAGCAGCTTTTTTTTTTCTGTTGACGCTCAGTTTTAGCACTTGTTGGACGAGCAAGTACCAGCAAACACAATGTATAAGAAAGATGCCATTGATCGAGATCTAGATGCCAGACTGAAAAGCGTGCATTTGAACGAAAAACAGCCCCAAACAAGTTCGAACTTATCAGAGCAAAATTCGGCCTACTCATCAGCTCCTGGATCGGGTGCCACCGATGTGACCACGCCTGAGACCGGTGCGGAGGAGGAGGAGGAGCAGAAGGAGCAGAAGGAGCAAATACAGACTCGTCATCCACAGCCTAAGAAAGAGCCGTGGTACAAGAAACTATCGGGAGTGCCACTTAATACTAGACCTGCCTCTCCATATACGCTTAATCCACCCATTGATTCGGATGGGTTGTCATGGCCTAGTATGGGTGCCCGGGAACGTTTAGAGTCTAGTCCAGAAGAGGCCGGCAAGAGGGAAAAGAGGATTGCAGAGGCGGTTAAAACGATTCTTACCGAGTTGGGTGAAGATCCAAATAGAGAAGGTCTTTTGGAAACGCCAGAACGTTATGCACGTGCGATGCTATTTTTCACCAAGGGATATGAGGAAAACATCAAGGATGTGATCAAGCGGGCTGTTTTTGAAGAAGATCATGATGAAATGGTGATTGTGAAGGACATTGAGATCTATTCATTGTGTGAGCACCATTTGGTTCCTTTTTTCGGTAAGTGCCATATTGCGTACATTCCTAACAAAAAGGTTTTAGGGTTGAGCAAATTGGCGAGACTTGCTGAGATGTTTTCCAGAAGACTCCAAGTTCAGGAAAGATTGACAAAGCAGATTGCCATTGCTCTTAGTGAGATTTTACAGCCACGTGGTGTTGCCGTTGTCATCGAAGCTACCCATATGTGTATGGTGAGTAGGGGTGTTCAGAAATCTGGTGCTATAACGTCAACGAGTTGTATGCTTGGGTGTTTCAGATCCCAACAGAAAACTAGAGATGAGTTCTTGACTTTACTGGGGAGAAATTGAATTGAGACATGTATGTGTATACATGTAGTTGATTACATTTTTTTCTTTCATAAATTGATAATATACTTACGTTATAAAGCTGAAGTTGAAGCTAATCTATACAGAATCGATCTAATGTCTCTTGGAGCCGGAATTATTTTTCTTCGTTTTGGTGACGCTGGAACCAATTGTGATGTTGACCTTTGGAGGGACGTTGAAACCGAAAGATTTACCGACCTTGACCAAGTCTAACTTATCGACCTTGTAGACGGTCTTCAAGTGATGTGATGCGTAAGCCTGCAAATAAGCTCTGTAGCCGTCTTTGGCGGATTGGTGTAGCCAGTAGTTATTTTTGATCAACTGTTCTAGTTGGGACTGAACGTTGGCGATCTTGTCCAATGGGAATTCGTATTCGTTTAGTGGGACCTTTGCGGCCTTCAAATATCTGAGGAAACCAAGTTCTTGGGGAATCAAGAACATCAAAGATTTACCCTTACCAGCACTACCTCTTGCCGTTCTCCCCACTCTGTGGATATAGTCTCTTGGATCATCAGGAGGGTCAAACTGAAGGATCCAATCGACCTCAGGTATATCCAAACCTCTTGCTGCGACGTCGGTACACAATAGAATGCCTTGTTTGGCGTTACAGAATTCAAAGAACGTTGCCGTTCTCTTCTGCTGCTTTTGCTTTCCGTGCAAATCCAGGACCGGTATGTCGATGTAGTTCAAGAGGGCGGAGTAGTACTTGACACAGTTGCAGGAGGAGAAGAAAACAATTATCTTCTTTTTCTTCTTCAAGTTTCTCTTCAAAAAGGAGAAGAGAAGAAGGAATCTCTTGTCGGAGTCGCAGACGACATAGCCCTGCTCCAAGCCCTCTGCGGTCGAGAAGTCTCTGTCTTCGTGGACATTTATGTAGACCGGTCTCCTCTTCAAGGAAGCTCTGGCCAAATCCTCGACCTTGGTAGTCTGGGTGGCGGAGAAAAGCATGGACTGTCTGTCCTCGTTCGGGAGGATCTTGACAATCTGCTTCATCTCGTCCTCGAACCCGATCTCCAAGATTCTGTCAGCCTCGTCCATGATCAAGGTCTTCAAGTTCTTATACACGAAGCCGGTGGTGTTCTGTAGATGGTCCAACAATCTGCCGGGGGTGGCGATGAGGAGGTTGACCCCCTTGGTTAACTTCTCGGCCTCCTGCCTTCTGTTGGCGCCGCCGATGACTATCCCGAGAGTCTGCGAGTGGTTTGCCATCAGCTCCCTGGCGACCCCAAAGATCTGGAGCGCCAACTCTCTCGTTGGCGTGATGACGATGGCGCCGGTTCCGTTTCTGGGCTTGAACTTCAACGAGTAGAGCAGCTCGATGGCGGGGAGAAGGAAGGCCAAGGTCTTGCCCGAGCCTGTTTTCGCAGCACCCAACACGTCCTTGCCTGCGAGAAGCGGCGGGATTGTCCGTGCCTGCACCTCTGTCATCTGCGTGAAGCCCATGGACTGGATTGCTTTCAGGGTAGGAGCGGACAAGGCGAGGTCTGTGAAGTTCTGGGGGATGGAGGCCGGGTCTTCCGCTGCTGCACTCGGTACCTGTTCCTCGTGCTCGGCCTCCTGTTCTTCGTCGTCGTTGTCGTCGTTGTCGTCCTCTTCGGCCTCCTCGGCCTCCTTATCACTCTCTTCTTGGTCCTCCGTATCCTTCTCCAGGAGATCTGCCACGTCCCCGTACTTGTCGTCCAACTCCTCCACTATCTTGTCCGTGTTCTCCTGGTCCTCCTGGTCCTGGTCCTGGTCCTCCTGCTCCTCTGCCTTGGCCTTCTTGCCACTCTTCCGTGGGTCCATCGTCACGCTTGACGACGACCTCTTCTGCTTCTTCGAGGCGGCGGAAACGCCCCCCCTGTCGCCCTTTCTCTTCGACGCTGCTGCGGCTCTTGCTGCTTTGACCATCGTCTCTGTGAATGCTGTGTTTCCTGCTTGGCTTGCCCAACAAAGAAGCCTAGGTCCAACACAGGAAACATCAATTGGTAATATCTGGAGCACGAAATGTGAAAAAAAAAGTTTCTGAAACTATTCCAAAAAAGAAAAAAAAAGAAAAAAAAGAGAAAAAAAAAATTCCACCCCTTTTTCCGGGCAGTGCAAAAAAACAAGTCGATCGACCCAGACAATGTCACGTGATATCCATGTCACGTGACACACTTTCCAAGGCAGTGCAGACAGGTCTATCGACCCGTTGCATGTCACGTGCCCCTTCGCCACGTGACACCCTCCCCTCGGCGTCAGTTGCCGTCGGCAGTACTGCCCGGCCTTTCGCCCAACACGGCTCGAAAAACGAGCACCCAGCCGGGCAACACGCAACTGCGGCTGCAGTAGCACTGCACAGCAGCAGCAGGGCAGCACACAGACGTGCACAGCGCACAATGGCAGACGCAAGAAGCAGAATGGTGGTGGGCGTGGGCAGCGGCCGGACACGCAGAGCAGGGGAACGGCCCCGACACCGCTACACCACTGGCACTGGGCCCCGCCGCAGCAGGCACCAGGAGAAAACACAGACATACACACGAGGCGGGAGGCGACACAGTAAGCGCAGCAAAAAGCAGTAAAACGCAGTAAAACACAGTAAAACGCAGCAAAACAAAGGCAACAAACAAACTTCTTCACCGTCTGTGGGTGGTCCACGTCCATCCCATCGTGCCTTGTCCCTCTTCGCCGCTGCTCCATTCTGAGTTTTTTTTTTTCACTCGTCTCTCCTCGTTTGCCAGCACTTGGTTTCAGTACAGCACAGCACCCGGCCGGCCTGCAGCCTCGATACGACAGCAGAAAGCCCCCCTAGGACAGCCCCTGCCAGCCCCAGCCCAGAACACCCCACCCGTCCGGCCTACCACATACACCCCGCCCCCCATCGGCACTCCATATACGTCTCCGCCCGTATATATTCTCTCCCTACATACACGAGGTCCCCTGCACCCAGCACCCAGCACCCAGCACCGCCAATTCTCCCGCCAGTGAGTCCGTCTGCAGCCCGTCATGTCCGCTGCACCTTCCCAAGAATTCAGATTGGTCGTGGTCGGCCCACCCGTGGTCGGAAAGTCTGCCTTGACGATCCGTTTGACCCAGAGCGAGTTCGCCAACGAGTACGACCCCACCATCGAGGACTCGTACCGCTACTACTGCACGATCGACGGCATCCCGGCGTCCTTGGACATCTTGGACACCGCCGGCCAGGAGGAGTACTCGTCCATGCGGGACTTGTACATGAAGACCGGCGAGGGCTTCCTCCTGGTGTTCTCCTTGACCGACCGCCACACGTTTGAGGAGATCTCCACCTTCTACAACCAGATCATGCGGGTCAAGGGCGAGACCGTGCAGTTTGTGCCTATGATGCTTGTCGGCAACAAGAACGACTTGGTCGACGACAGACAGGTCTCCTACGAGGAGGCCATCCAGCTGGCCAAGCGCTTCGACTGTGCCTACATCGAGACCTCGGCGAAAACAGGCATGAACGTCAACGACGCCTTCCACGGCTTGGTCAAGATGGTCATGCACAACGCCGTCTTGGGTGTCGGCTTGGAAAACACCCTCTACCCAAGCGAGGAGGAGGAGAAGGAGGCCCGCTTGAAGCTGCAGCAGCAACAGGCCGCCAACGCCGCCAATGGCAACGCCAACAGCGTCGCCAACGGCAAGGGACTCAGGAGCGGCAGTCTAAACAACAACAACAACAACAACAACAACTCAGGCTCCGGCCTCCGCCACTCGGGCAGCACATCGTTTAACAACGCCAACGGAGGCGACGCCGACCCTAAGAACGGACTGGCTTCTGGAAGTGCCCAGGCCCAACAAAGACAGAGCAATGCTAAACCTACATCGAGCGCTGGCGCAAAAGATTCAAGTGGTGGATGCTGTGTCATAATGTAATTACTCAATCGATCAATCGATAAGGGCTCCAACCAACCACCGGGAGAACCCTCCTAATCAATACAACAATATCTAACATTACCTATCACAATCTCCACTATCTCCACCAACTGCACCAGCTAATTCCCACAAAAAAAAGTTCGAGACATCTATTTTCTATTCGTCATCATCAACCAATTATATAATTCCTACTTACAAACCTTCATCGATCTTTTCTCAGAATAATGTCTTTTTCATGCTTTGTCATTCATTCCTTCCTTTTTATACTCTTTCTTCTTCTTCTTCTTCTTCTTCTTCTCTCTACCTATCCAAGCCACCTATGCTCACCCTGTGCCACGTCGATGTGTATCGAGCGATATTTACCAACTACAATATCTACATTATAGTTAAAAACCTCCCTTGTGTGTGTTATTTTTTTTGTCGTGTTTCATTTAATAATTTATTTTTTCTCCTGTTACAATAATAGAACCAAAGCGCTCGTAGTCGTCCGCTCATCGTCATCCGGTTCGGACTTCTTCACTCTGCCCCCCGTAGTCGATGATATGATAATGTCAATATTTTACACTCGAAGTAAACTTAAACAAAAAGAGATGAGGTGGGAAAGGGAGGAGAGGAGGAAAGGCAAAGGCAATCAGATGGGAAAATAATGATGAAATAATGGAATATAAATGTTTATCGCTTTCATAAATAAATCAGTGCTATAGTATATAGTCCTCCTCAAGGGGTGTGCAATTAAAAAGGGTTGGCGGCATCCAGTTGCTCTCTTGAGTAGACAGGAGAGTTGGCAGTAGCAGCTTGGGCTTCCTGCTTCAGCTTTTCGCCCAAGGAGTTGAAGTCGACTTCGGCTTCCTCGGCGGAGGCAGCAGAAGCTGGGGCAGATGGAACTTTGGAGACCTTTGGAGCCTTCTTGGCGGCGCTGGTGGATGCGGTAGTTTCGGAGGAGAAGTGTGGGGCAGAGGAGGAGGTGGTGGCGGAGGAGGCGGCAGCTTCAGAAGAAGATGGGGATCCCACAGTGGTGCCTGCGGTTCTGACAGGGAGCTTGGATTCGATCAGCTTCCATGCTGGGGCAACAGCGCTCTTGGCCTTTTCGAGCTGAGGACCAAACTTGACCTCGGCGGTCTTGTATGCTTCCGACGCCTTGGCCTTGCCCAATTGGACGCCCTTGAGAATGTTCTTGTCAATCACCTCCTTGTTGGAGAGGTACACTGGTGGAACAGTGAATGCCAAGACGGCGGATGTGAATGCCAAGGTCCAGAGGGAGAAGGCGCTTGTCAACTTGTACAGGAAGAAGGCCAAGACGCCTGTTCTCAAGGTCGTTTCAACGTCGACCGCGGTGTAGAGGGATTGGGTCTGCAACTCGATCTTCTTCAAGATCGTGACGACGTGAGGTGCGTAGTAGTCGGCGGTCTCGCCAATACACGCCTTAGGCTGTGGCTTGAACTTGGTCACGAACCCCGTGCCGGTCAAGAACTTGCCCACGTACTCTGCCACGCCGGAGATGAGCAATATGAACGTCGAAAGACGGAAAAACAAGGCCACCAAGTTCACCCACTTGATGAGGACAAGGAAGGTCAGGATGGAGCCAAGCGTGATGGCAGACTTCTTTGGGTCCTTCCAGGTGAGCAAGCTGCAGCTGTTCTTGGTCACACAGGCGCCGCCGCAGCAGGCGTTGTTAGAGTTGGATTTGCAGGAGGACATCTTTTTCAGGGAGCAATTGCTGTTGCTGTTGCTAATACTGATATGCTGTGTAGTATGTTAGTTAAGATCCTGGATGGAACAGTAACGCAGAACCCGGCCTGGTGCAGCACAAGACGCAAGAAGAAGCAGATGGCGGCGGCGTCAAATGGAAATCGGGAGACGGATCGGTGGAGGCAAAACGCTCCCACCCTCACTCTTCTCGTTGGACGGGCTCCCTCTCTGGGCGGAGCGGTTTTTCTGGCTGGGTGTGCTGGATCTGGGCCAGGGAGGGGGGGGGGGGAAAGAAGGGGTCTTGTGCCTGGGAAAGAGGGAGGGACCCGGGACGAGCAGACCTCTCGACATGTGTGTCTGGTTGTGTCTGTGTGTGTCACTGCCACAGTGCTCTGCAGACAGACATGTAGCCGGGGTGGCGATAACGGGTAGAGAAGAGCCTGCGTGTGCGCCTATCAGACGGCCCAAGCCCGGGGAAATTAAGCCGATCGGCGTAAAAAGCGGGGCGTTACGTAAGCGGAGTACGTAAGCAAGAGTACGTAAGCAAGATTTTCCTGACATGATTCCTGGGCAGGTGAAAAATTCAGGATAAAAGGTTGAAGATAGGAAGAGAATGACGGAGAAGAAGCGGAAAGACAGGCCGGAGAGAGCAGTACGGGAGCAACACGGGACAGAAGATGCTAGCAAGAGTGAGGACGGTGAGCCGAGCAACAGGGGCAGCGGTGGCTGGCGGCGGTTTCGGTCTTGCAGGGGCCAGCAGTCGCAGCAGCGGCAGGATGATCAGCGGGATCCGGGATCCACGGTTTCTCAGGTTCAGCGAGAGCTCGGTGGGGCGGTTTCGGCAGCAGCTGCCCGGAGAGGACGACGAGATTGTGGTGTCGATGTCATCAGGGGTGGACTCGTCGGTGACGGCGTTGATGTTTGCGCAGCGGTACCGGAACGTCCGCGGGGTGTTCATGGCGAACTGGTCGCCGGACCGGATGGCGGACTCAAGCTCGACGTGCACGGTGGACACGGACTGGCTGCAGGTGCGGGCGACGTGCGAGCAGCTGCAGATCCCGTGCGAGCGGGTGAACTTCGAGCGGGAGTACTGGACGCAGGTGTTCGAGCCGATGCTCGAGCAGTACGAGCGGGGGTACACGCCGAACCCGGACATCGGGTGCAACCGGTACGTGAAGTTTGGCAAGATGGTGGAACACCTGGCGAGGCGGTTTGAGGGCAGCGGGAGGCGCTGGTGGCTCGTGACGGGCCACTACGCCCGGATCCTGCGGGACGAGGCCGGCGAGCACCGGCTGCTGCGGGCGCAGTACCGCCAGAAGGACCAGAGCTACTACCTTGCCCGCATGCCGCACGACGTGCTGGCTCGTGTGCTGATGCCGCTCGGCCACTACACGAAGCCCCAGGTGCGCCAGATCGCCCGGGAGTACGACCTCGTCACGAAGGACAAGCCGGACTCGCAGGGCCTCTGCTTCGTGTCGCAGGCGGGCAAGTTCGCCGACTTCCTCGGCGACTACCTCAGGCCAAACCCAGGCAACATCGTCACCGCCGACGGCCACGTCTGGGGCCGCCACAAGGGGCTCTGGACGGCCACCATCGGCCAGCGGTCCGGCATCAGCATGCCGCAGGGCGACCCCCGCTACAAGGGCGTGTGGCTCGTTGCCGACAAGAACGTCGCCCGCAATGAGCTCGTCATCGCCCGCAAGGACGACCGGGAGGCCTTCTACCGCAGCACCGTGGCCGTCGACCCGGCCTCGTGGTACTGGCAGGGCGCCCGGCTCGGCTGGGACGCCGTGCAGCACCTACTGCGGACGGGCGCCAACGTGAACTGCCAGATCCGCTCGCTGCAGACGCCCAACACCGTCAAGAGCGTCAGCTGCCATGACGGCGTCCTGCGCGTGCAGCTCGCCGAGGAGATCTTCGGCATCGCCGCCGGCCAGACGCTGGCCATCTACCACGACGACGTGCTGCTCGGGTCGGGCGTCATCTGTCCGGACGGCACACACGCGGCCGCGTCCCCGGTGCCCTAGAAGCCCTCCTAACCCTTTATATCCCCCAAGCCGTTACTTGTCTATAGACCCTGTAGAGCTGGCACACGATGCAGAAACCATGAGCGCCTCCTCCCGGTGCCGCAGCAGAGCCCGTTCCTCGAGCAGCAGCACCAGCCGCCGCACGAGCCGGACAAACCGCTCCTCAACCCGCCGCAGCGTCGCCAACAGGGCCTCTCCGTCGTAGGTCTCGAGCTGCGCGTGCGCCGCCCGGAATCGCCTGAACACGCCGTCCTGCTGCTCCAGCACCGTCTCCAGCTGCCCCACCGCCGTCTCCAGCGCCGCGTACGAGCCCAGCACCGCCTCCCGTTCAACACCGCAGTCCCCGCCTGCTTGCGACCGCGTGCCAGCATCCACGTTGCACTCCTGCAGCAGGCGCACAAGCGTCGCCAGCGACGGACACCCCTGCTGCAGCCGCTGCTGGAGCGTCGCCAACTCCGTCGTTGCCGGCTCTGTCCTTGCCGGCTCCGCCGTCGCCCCCCCGTTCCGCATTCCCCCCACACGTGCCTCCAGCTGCACCAGCCGCCGTTCCAGCGTCTCTTTCGACGTCTGCATTGCCTATTGTTCCCCTTCTTTCCTCTTTTCTTCCTCTTCTCTTCTCTCCGTCTCCCAACTCCTCCATCTTCAACTTCTTTTCGCCACTTTCATGCTCAGCTCCCCCTGAAATGCAATGAGCCGCCTTCCGCGCCGGTTACGAGCCCGTGCCGCGCCGTCGCGTCGGCCCCCCTTGCCTCTTCCTCCCGTCTCGCCTCTTCCCGCCAGACTGGCCAGCGAGGGGGCCGGCCAGACTGACGATACAGACAGAAACAGAGAAGAAGTGGTCCTGGTCAGCAGACATGGGGACAGCCAGGGTGCTAGCGGGGGCGTGCGGTGGTGCAGCAGAGTTAATTTATCACAGCACAACTACACAACCGCAATTACAACATGGTAGGTAGATACCGCAGTGATATTGCACGGGGAGCCGAGCGGGGGTGCACACGCCCGCAACGGCAACGGCAACAACAACGGCAAGACCGACAGGAGAGACACGAGTACTAACACAATTGACGCCGCCAGGGTGTGGCAGGGATATGCACTTTGCACAGTCTAGATCTGGGTATGCACGCAATGGGCGGGACACAGCGTCCCGCAGGGCGCAGGAAGCGCCGGAAAAGCAGCTGGACGCCAGCTGGACGCCAGCTGGAGAGCTGAAGGACACCACCCAGAAAGCAAATACTAACGAACCACCCCTTTCCACAGTGTTGCCGTTTCCGACGAAGCATTAAAGGCGTTCAACGACCTCAAGTTGGGCAAGAAGTACAAGTACGTCATCTACAAGTTGAACGACGACAAGACCCAGATTATCGTCGACAACACGTCCACCGACGCGTCCTACGACGCCTTCTTGGAGGAGTTCCCAGAGAACGACTGCAAGTACGCTGTCTACGACTTCGAGTACGAGATCAGCGCCGGCGAGGGCAAGAGATCCAAGATCGTCTTCTTTCAGTGGTCGCCAGACACCGCCTCCATCAGAGCCAAGATGGTGTACGCCTCCTCCAAGGACGCCTTGAGAAGAGCCTTGAACGGTGTCTCCTCTGACATCCAGGGCACCGACTTCTCCGAGGTCTCCTACGAGGCCGTCTTGGAAAAGGTCTCCAGAGGCGCAGGCTCCCACTAATTGTGGTCACCCGTGCCCCTTCGCCACTCTTACCGCCACCTCCACCACCTACGTTTGCCTCTCGACATACTCTCTCTGTACGTATATACACTCAATCCCTATATACTATATCAATCCCAGTAAGCAACCTTCTCACGGGACCTCCTTCTCCTTCCGGTGCAAAGAAATCACGCCCTTCTCTTTTTCCTCCCACTCTTTTCCTCCCACCCCACCGCTCGACTGACATGACCCAGGGCCATCAGAGAGGCAGATGCACAGAGCCTTGCTCCGTTACTGCCACTTGTCGCTTTCTTCCCTCCTACTGTGGTAACTCTTCCCATACCGACCCATACCCATATCCCACCCTCACCGATACACCCAATGACAACCGATGCAGACGTTATCGTCGTCGGAGCTGGTATTTCCGGCTTGAAGGCAGCAGCCGATCTGCACGAGAACGGAGTTTCCACCCTCATCCTGGAAGCACGGCCACGGACCGGAGGCAGGGTCTACACAGAGCGGGCCACTAGCACGGGCAACCATTACGACCTCGGCGCCACGTGGTTCCACTCGACAATGGAAAACCCCATTTTCGACAAGTTCGTCGGAGAGTGGTACACGCCATCGGACGCTAGATACGACGACCACAACGTTGGGTTTGTGCTCGACACCGCAACAGGCGGCTTCCCCGACGGATGTAATGTTGGACCCATTGTCGACGAGATCAAGTACTTTGCGTCTAAGTCACCAAGCGACGAGACCCTCCAGAATTCCCTGCTCAGCTACTTCAAGTCCAAAAAGGGCCTCCTCAAGGAGGACGAGAAGAAGTACGCCGCTGCCCTTTATAAGTTTGCTGAGTTGACTGGCGGCTGCCGCTGGGACATGATCAGCTCCAAGCTTGCTTACGGGCCCTTTACGGGAAGAGACTCGTTCAACACCCTTGGCTACGACAAAGTTCTCGAGAAGATCTCCGCAAACTACCCAAAAGACCAAATTAAGCTCAGCACTGTTGTGAAGAGCATCGAGAAAGTCGCCGCCGGAGATGCCGACAAGACCGTTGTCAAGGTCACCACGAAGGCCGGCGACATTTTCACTGCAAAGTACGTGTTGGTTACAATCCCATTGGGCGTTTTGAAGCTCTCTGTGGAAGACCCGTCCGCAGAAGGCGCCATCACCTTCCAGCCAGAGTTGCCAAAGGCAATCACGGACAACTTCTCCAAGACGCACTTCACCACGCTTGCCAAGGTCATCGTGGAGTTCGACGAGGTGTTCTGGCCGGACAACGACAAGTTCCTTGTGCTCTCCGTTCCTCAAGACGGGGACATTGACGAATCGTCCGTCTACTCTGCTGCGCAACTTGATGACTACTCTGCTGCCAAACCCGTCAAGGCCTTCGACTTCCCCTGCCTCGTCTCAAACTTCAACGTCGTGAAGGGTGTCCCTGCGTTGATGTTCCTCGTTCCCTCACAGCCTGCTCACCAAATCGAGTCTGCCGAGAACCCGGAAAAGTACGGTTTTGAACTCATCAAGCCCATTATCGAAAAGCTTTCAGGCGGAAAACCCGTTCCACAGCCAAAACTTGTTCTCACCACCAGCTGGGGCTCCGATCCATACAGCAGGGGCGTCATTGCGGCCAATGCTCCCGGTGACATGTTGGTCAACGATGCGCTGATTGACGGCTTCGGCAGTATTCGATTTGCCGGAGAAGGCCCTGTCTACGAAGGCCACACCTGTGCCCACGGAGCCTACATCAGCGGGGAGAGAGAAGCCAAGGTCATCCTGGCAAAGCTGGGCAAGACCAGTGTTTAATATCCGTGCCTTTGTAATCGTGTAATGATTGATGTATGCTCAAAGACATTTAATTCTATTTAAAGCAGCGGACGCGTGGAGCGGGGAGATGTTGTGAAAGTGCCCGTTTAGGAAAAAAAGGTGTGACGTTTCCTTCCCGTACCAGAAGGGATCGAAGGCTCCTTTTAGGGAGGACACGAGACAGCTCCAGGAGGACGACACAGAGCATAGCATAGCATAGAATAACACAGCGCTAAAGAACGCACGATAATATACACAATGACCATGATAGATATCAGGGAAAAATACACGGCCGCCGGCCAAGGCCACATCTTCAAGCAGTGGGACACACTGAGTAACACTCAACAGCAGAAGTTCCTCGCACAGCTTGCAAAGATTGAAGATCCGGCAGCTTTCATGGACGATGTCCAACAGGCTATAAAATACTCATCAGCGGTCTCCGGCTCCAAAGAATACACGCAGTTGCCGGAGACGTCGTTCAGCTCCACGATTGGCTCCAGCAAAGACACGTTGAAGCGGTGGGAAACAGAGGGCCTGCAGTTGATCAGAGAAGGGAAGGTTGGAATCATACTCATGGCGGGCGGACAGGGTACCAGGCTCGGTTCAAGTTCGCCGAAAGGCTGCTATGACGTCGGCTTGCCATCACACAAATCGCTGTTCCAGATCCAGGTCGAGAGAATCAGGCGTTTGGAGCAGTTAGCCTCCGACAGTAGTGACCGCAAGTTGCTCACGCTTTATGTGATGACTTCAGGCCCAACCAGGGAGACGACGGAGACCTTTTTCAAGAAACACGCCTACTTCGGTCTAGCTCCGGAGCAGGTTGTCTTTTTCAACCAAGGCACGCTCCCTGCAGTTGACCTTCAGGGGAAGAAGTTGTTGCTGAGTGAGGACGGTGCTTCTCTTGTCGAGAGCCCGGACGGGAACGGCGGGCTCTACACGGCGCTTGCCGACCACGGCGTGCTCGAGGACTTCAAGCGCAGAGGCATCGAGCATATCCACATGTACTGCATCGACAACATCTTGGTGAAGGTCGGCGACCCAGTTTTTATTGGGTACGCCGCCTCGCATGACTTTGACGTCGCCACCAAGGTTGTCCGCAAGAACAAGCCTTCCGAGAAGGTCGGACTCATTGTCCTCGACAAGGACGCCAATGTACCGTGCGTTATCGAATACAGCGAAATCTCGCAGGAGCTGAGCGAGGCTCTTGATGCAGCCAACCCAGACTTGCTCAAACTCAGAGCCGGCAACATTGTCAACCACTACTACAAGGTCGACTTCCTCGAGCAGAAGGTGCCCGAATGGATCCGCTCGAGACGCTTCTTGCCATACCACGTGGCCCGGAAGAAGATCGCATGCGCCGATCCGGACACGGGGGCGCCTATCAAGCCCTCTGATATCAACGGTATCAAGCTCGAACAGTTCATCTTTGACGTCTTCCCTAGTGTTGAGCTGAGCAAATTCGGCTGTCTTGAGGTGGAGCGAGAGGACGAGTTCAGCCCGCTCAAGAACGCACCGGGCTCCCCTTCAGACACCCCAGAGTCATGCAGAGCCAACTGTCTCAAGCGTGCCACCGCCTGGGTCGTTGCCAACGGCGGCAGTCTAGCAACCCCGGACACACTTGTAGAGGTCAGTCCACTAGCGAGCTATGCCGGTGAGGGCCTCTCCGACGTCGTCCGCGGCGTCTCCTACAGCAACCTCGACATCGTCGAGCCCTAGAAACGTCTCCCCGACGCTTTCCAACGCTTTCCAGCGTTTCCGTCCTCACATCTCTATATAGCTGTAAGAAGAAGAACATGAATATGAACAACATTACAAATAGTAGACCCAGATCATGAAGCCCCGGCCCGGTCTGGCGGTCCCGGAGTTGCGGCGCGAGGCACGGGGCCGGGCAATCTGCTGATGCGGAGAGGAGGCCTGTGTAGTATCACCACCTCCCCTGCCAGCGGTGGCGGCTGAGCAGCATTGCTGGGCTCAGCAGGTCAATTCGACACGGGGGCGTACAGAAGAGGTCTGTGAAGCACAAGTGGTTGTGGTAGCAGTCGAACTAGAAGGAACAGTAGTGACTTTAAGGGTAGCAGCAGAGACGCCAGAGATAGACGTGCTAGAACGATAAGACCGAGACACGCCACGACAAGATGGGACCACTAGACGCTTCCGTATCGACCACGAGAAAAAACCACAGGCGGACAATGACCGGGTTCACGCCAACGGAGATCAAGAACATTGATGCCGCAATTCCGATGAAGTGCCGGAACGCATGGGCAAGCCACGGGGTGAAGGCCTTCAACACGGCAGATGAGTTGGAGACAAGGTTCATTAACCACGTGGAGACGACCCTTGCGAGATCAATGTACAACTGCGACGACTTGGCAGCATACCAGGCGCTTTCGAGCTCACTCCGGGACAAGTTGATTTTGCAATGGAACAAGACACAGCAATTGTACACGATCCGGGAGAGCAAACGGCTTTACTACTTGTCGTTGGAATTCCTAATGGGCCGGGCGTTAGACAACGCCATGATCAATCTCGACCTGAAGGATGTGTGCAACAAGAGTGTCGACGAGTTGGGTTTCAATCTTGAGGACATCATTGAGGTCGAGCCGGACGCTGGTTTGGGAAACGGTGGTTTGGGCCGTTTGGCAGCGTGCTTTGTAGACTCTCTAGCGACGTGCAATTACCCTGGCTGGGGGTACGGCTTGCGCTACAACTACGGCATCTTTGCGCAGAAGATCATCAATGGCTACCAGATTGAAGCACCGGACTACTGGTTGAAGTTCGGAAACCCATGGGAGATCCCGAGACTCGAGATCCAAATTCCGGTCGACTTCTACGGCTCAGTCAATACCGTCACCGACCCGAAAACTGGCAAGGAGAAGAAGCAGTGGTCCGGCAACGAGCGAGTCTTGGCAATTGCCTACGACTTCCCCATTCCAGGTTTCCGAACCAACAACGTCAATAACTTGCGGTTGTGGTCTTCCCAGCCCACCGCGGAGTTTGACTTCCAGAAGTTCAATGAGGGGGACTATGACGACTCTGTTGCCGAGCAGCAGAGGGCAGAATCCATCACCGCTGTCTTATACCCTAACGACAATTTCTACCAGGGCAAGGAGTTGCGTTTGAAGCAGCAATACTTCTGGGTGGCAGCCAGTTTGCATGACATAGTGAGACGGTTCCTGAAGACAAACAAGGCGTGGTCCGAGTTTCCAGACCAGGTCGCCATCCAGTTGAACGACACCCACCCAACCATGGCTATTGTTGAATTACAGAGAATCTTGGTCGACATTGAGGGAGTTGAGTGGAACGAGGCTTGGGACATCGTCACCAGGACGTTCAGCTACACCAATCACACAGTCATGCAGGAAGCCTTGGAAAAATGGCCGGTTGACTTGCTTGGCAATCTCTTGCCAAGACATCTTGAAATCATCTATGACATCAACTTGTTTTTCCTTCAGAAGGTTGAGAAGCAGTTCCCTGCCGACAGGGGCTTGCTAAGTAGAGTCTCCATAGTGGAAGAGTCTAACCCAAAGAACTTGAGAATGGCCTACTTAGCTATCATCGGGTCACACAAGGTCAACGGTGTGGCAGAATTACACTCGGAGCTTATTAGAAAGACCATCTTCAAAGATTTTGTCAATATCTACGGTGCCCAAAAGTTCATCAACGTCACCAACGGTATCACCTTCAGGAGATGGTTGAGACAGGCAAACCCAGATTTGAGTAGTTTGATCAGTAAAAAACTAGGCTCTGATGAGTTCTTGACCTCTCCAGTTCAGTTGAAGAAGCTTGAAGCATTTGCTGACGATAAAGCATTTCTTGCCGAATGGGACGGCGTCAAATTAAAGAACAAGAAGAGATTGGCCGCACTTATCAAAAAGCTCACAAATGTTGATGTCAATCCTTCCAATATGTTTGATGTTCAGGTCAAACGTATCCACGAATATAAACGGCAACAAATGAACATCTTCGGTATCATCTGGCGTTATCTTCAAATCAAGCAGACTCCGGCAGAAAAGCGCAACAAGTGGTTGTCTAAAGTTTGCATCATTGGTGGTAAGGCAGCTCCTGGCTACTACGCCGCAAAGAAAATTATCAAGCTTATAAACGCTGTTGGAGAAGCTGTCAATAATGATCCGGATGTTGGGGATTTGTTGAAGGTCGTTTTCATACCTGATTATAACGTCTCAAAGGCAGAAGTCATCTGTCCAGCAAGTGATATCTCAGAGCATATATCCACCGCCGGCACCGAAGCCTCCGGTACATCGAACATGAAGTTTGTTCTCAATGGAGGCTTAATTCTCGGCACTGTTGACGGTGCTAATGTTGAAATCACCAGAGAGGTTGGCGAGGACCAAATCTTCTTGTTCGGCAACCTCGCCGAGGACGTCGAAGACTTGCGTTACGATCATCATCTGGGAAGAATTGACATTCCAGATGCTCTTAAGCTTGTCTTTTCCGAGTTGGAGAAGGGCACTTTCGGTAATTATGATGAGTATCGTGAGTTGGTTGACTCAGTCAGGGTCCACGGTGACCACTATTTGGTTTCTGATGATTTTGAAAGCTATCTCGAGGCACAGAGCACCATTGATGCAGAGTTCATCAACCGTGACAACTGGCTCAAGAAGAGTGTCTTGTGTGTTGCCAACATGGGCTTCTTCTCTTCCGACCGTTGTATCGAAGAATATTCAGAGAATATTTGGAACATTGAACCTATTGGGGAGCAAGTTTGACATACGCTGTCAAACACTTTCATGGGGGGACTCAGTTATGTACCGTTTCCCCAATATAGTGTACTTTCTTTTTGTCTTTCGTTAAACTTTATTTTCATAATTCTATAGTTGATTACATGTTTCTTATTATACAGTCGATGGAGGGTTACTAGTAAAGAGTTTGGTGTGGGCGAGCAAGCGCCTAGGAGTATTTCCCTTGTTTCAAGTTGCGCAAGATCTCGATATTTGTCATTTCGCCGCTCACGGAAGAGTTGAGCATCTCTTCATCCTGGAGCAGCTCGCTGTCGGTCTGTGGGTTCCAGTTCCCGACTAGCATCTTTCTCAAACACGTGTTTTCGATCTCGAGCTTGTGCAGCTTAGTTTTGAAGTTTGTAATCTTCTCATTTTCGGCTTGAATCTTCTTCATCAGATCGTTTGCCTTGTTTTTTTTTTCAGCCTGAACCGGATCGATGCTTCAAGGTTTTTTCGCCGTTTTTCCTCAATCAAAATCTTTAGTTCCTCCTCAGTGAGACTGCCGCCACTCAGCAAAGTACTATGGGAAGCCGTCTCGGCCAATTCTGAATAGACGCTCTCCTTCTTCAATTTCAGATTCGGATATCCACGTTCAGCACTTGTAGAATTCTCATGCACCCGCTCCTTCTCGTTGCCATACCCATCGTCGGCGTCGTCAGATCCCTCGCCGTCCTTTTCACCCGCATCCAACGCAAAGCCAGAGTTAGATCTATATGCTGCGTTCGGACCTTCTCCGGTATGCCCCGATGCCTTTGCGGCTGACGCCTCGTCACTCAGGTTTTTATTTTCGGTTTCATCTATATCTGTCTGAAATATATTTTTGAAGACCATAATGGAAGCATGTGACCTAGTCTATCCATCAAGGAACATTAGCAATTGTGGAAGCAGATGTGGGAAGGATAGCACAGCGTGTGAAAATCCAAAACCAGGCAGAAAGAGAACGGAAGCAGTAACCAACAAGGAAATATCTGCTTAAACGGACGCAACGTTAGGGTTTGAACAATCCTACAGTTTTACAAAAAAAACCCCCTCTTTCCATCGACAGCTTCCGAGCCGTGCATCGATGCTGAATTTCTCTAAGCCGTCTGCCTTCGCCGCCATAGCCTCACCGATTATATATAGACGTGCAACGTCTGGATCCGACACGAAGAGCACAATACCTGGGGTTGAAAGGAACTTCGGGGTTCAAAGTCCTGGACAGAAGACTTGAAAAAATATATCGTCCCGATTAGGAAATACGATAAGCTCACCCCGCCACAATTGCCTTTTCCAGCCACACAATGCAATATCACGTGTATATCACGTGATGCTTACGTCAGCTGTATTTTTTTTCTCCTTCCCTTCTGCTAGGAGAAAAGACGGACGGAGATAGACATGGAACACAAAGACCGGAAGATGTCCGGACTAGCCGGGACAGCAAAAGAGGAATCACAAGAAAATAGGAGTGGTCAAAGTGACATGGTGCAGCAGGTGCGATTTCTTATTGAAGGAAGGTCGTTGACCGTGGACCGACGGGTGGTGGAGGTGTCTGTGTACGTGAGAAACCTGCTCCGGAACCTCGTGGACAACGATAGCAGCAGCGGCAGCAACAGCGACGACGACGACGAATATCACGACAGTGGCAGTGACAGCGACAAGGGGAAGACCACGGATGGCCGCAGGAGCGGCAAGCAGCACAGCCCGCGTGACCAGTGCATCGAGATCCCGCTTGACAACATCAGCTACGACACCATGGAGCTGATCCTCCGCTGGTGCAAGCACTACTACGAGTCGCACAAGGACGAGATAGAGCAGGGCGGCGCGTTCTCGGACGCGTCTGACCCCGGCCCCAGCGAGGTCGGGAACTGGCCGGACAACGTCATGGACGACTACCAGGCCCGCGTCTCTCGCCCCGTGCTCGACCTCTGGGAGCGGGAGTTCCTCGATGTCGACGCCGAGACCCTGAAGAAGATCATCCTAGCGTCCAACTTCCTCAACATCAGGCCTTTGCTCGACACAACCTGCAAGATCATCGCAGAACTCTTCCGCGGGAAGTCGCCCCGGGAAATCATCAACGCTTTTAACGCCGCCCGCACACAGGTCAGCTCTAACGCAAACCAGTCAGCTGCCACTCTCTATTGATGCCGGTCCTTTCCTTTATATATCTCTGTGAATACTCCTTCTTCATGTACAACAGCTCTTTGCAATCCCGTATTACGTAACACACGTCCCTCGTCAGCCGTGTTGGACAACTACCGTCTTTTTCTAGCAGGCGAGCGAGGGAGCAGGCAAAAGCAGAATCGCCTTCAACGTGGCCGTTGATAGCTTTTCCAGAAGAGAACGAGCCGTTAGCTGGAGAAAGAAAAGATTATAGGAGCAGATATCTGGACAACAAACAGCTCGAAACCCTCTGTACACTAGCGACAATGGCAGAAGAGATTGTTGACAGCGAGACTGTGGAGTACTCCCAGTTGTTGTTCCCGAAATCCACATTGGTGAAACCGTACGTGTTTCCATTCCTAATAATCTACCCGCTCTATTACAACGTCTACAGCAAGTACTACGACGTCTATTTTGTTGGCAGAGAGTGGACATTCATCTACACACTTTTGCTGGTATCGATACATGCGTTGATCTGGCTTCTGCCAAGATGGAACTTGGGCCTCAAGGTCAAATTCCAGTACAACAAGGTGGACTCGCTCAATGCCGCCACTCACATTTTGATGAAGGCAAAGCCTTCGCATGGTATGAGTGAAATCTCGAAGATCGAAAGGGCCCCAGGCCAGATCTCCTTCAAGTACCAGAAGAGAAAGTTCATCTACAGCCCAAAGGCAAAGAAGTTCTCCCCACCCATCTATTTCGTTGACGACAAGGACTTGAAAATATCAGAGATCAAGTCGGTCAGAGGCTTGACCTCCGATAAGGTTCCATTCTTACAAAAGCATTACGGCTCTAATCTTTTTGACATCCCTGTTCCAACCTTCACTGAGTTGTTTGTTGAGCACATGCTTGCACCTTTTTTCGTTTTCCAGTTGTTCTCCATATCCTTGTGGTTGATGGACGAAATGTGGTACCTTTCGATCTTCTCTTTGATCATGCTCTTCTCCTTTGAGGCTTCCACCGTCTATCAGAGAAAGTCCACCATGACGGAGTTCCAGAGCATGGGTATCAAGCCATACGACATCTGGGTTTACAGAGACAAACAATGGGAGGAAATAAAGACAGTAGACCTGCTACCGGGAGATATTGTCTCTATCATCAGAACCCCTCATGAAGACTTGTCCATTCCTTGTGATATGCTGTTGCTCCAAGGTTCTTGTATTGTCAACGAAGCAATGTTGTCTGGTGAATCGACTCCGCTTTTGAAAGAAAGCATTGAGAACAGAGAACACGACTCCACGTTCCAGCCGGATGGTTTGGACAAGAACTCTCTGTTGCACGGTGGTACCTCATGTCTTCAAATCACCGTTCCAGAAAAGCCTGTCGTTCCTCTAGCGCCAGATAACGGTGCATTGGCTATTGTTACTAAGACCGGTTTTGAAACCACCCAAGGTTCCTTGGTTAGAGTCATGATCTTCTCCTCCGAAAGAATGTCTGTTGCTAATAAGGAGGCATTCTTTTTCATCTTGTTTTTGCTTATCTTTGCCATTGTTGCCGCTAGATATGTTTGGGTCGAAGGTACCAAAATGGGTAGAAAGCAATCCAAGTTGATCCTCGACTGTATCATTGTTTTGACTTCTGTTGTTCCACCTGAATTACCAATGGAATTGACAATGGCTGTTAACCAATCTTTGGCAGCTCTTGCTAAGCATTACATTTTCTGTACCGAACCGTTCAGAATTCCGGTTGCAGGTAGAATTGATGTCTGTTGTTTTGATAAAACCGGTACTTTAACTGCTGAAGATTTGGTCTTCGAAGGCTTGGCCGGTCTTAAAGATGATGATGTGTCCCAGTTGTCCAAGCATGATTCTCCAGAAGTTCCAGCCATCACTGTTGACTTGTTAGGTGCTGTGCATGCCTTAGTTAGATTGGATGATGGTGAAGTTGTTGGAGACCCAATGGAAAAAGAAACTGTTAAAGCCTCTGGTTGGAAATTAGATGAAAAGGAAAAAAACACTATGATTGGTCACAACAAAAAGATCAAGACTTTAAAGAGATTCCAATTCTCGTCGTCTTTAAAGAGATCATCTGTGATTTCTAGAATCGATGGCAAGGTCTTGGTCGGTTGTAAGGGTGCCCCAGAAACGATTTCCGAAAGATTATCCGTCATTCCATCGAACTACGAAAAGACCTACAAATACTTTACCAGAAACGGTTCCAGAGTTTTGGCTCTAGCTTACAAATATTTGAACAGTGAAAAGAACCTAGACAAGGTTGAAAGAAAATCTGTTGAATCTGACTTAATTTTTGCGGGCTTCATTGTTTTCCACTGTCCAATGAAAAGTGATGCTGTTGACACCATTCAAATGTTAAACCAATCCTCCCACAGATGTGTTATGATTACCGGTGATAATCCTTTGACTGCTTGCCATGTTGCCCGTCAAGTTGGTATTGTTACCAAAGACACTTTGATTTTAGATAAGCCTGAAAGCAATCATTCTGGTGATTCGTCGCTTGAGTGGAGAAATGTCGAAGAAACTAGAGTTATCCCTGTTAATAACGATATTACGTTCGATATGAAATTTTTAAAGGAAAACGATTTATGTATCACCGGTTATGCTTTGAATGAGCTGATTGATCATCCACAAATCAGTACTTTGATCAGATACACTTGGATTTATTCAAGAGTCTCCCCAGCTCAAAAGGAATACATTTTGAACACTTACAAAGGTCTCGGCTACAACACCCTTATGTGTGGTGATGGTACCAATGATGTCGGTGCCTTGAAGCAGGCAAACGTTGGTATTGCCTTATTGAACGGTACCGAAGAGTCTTTGAAGCAAATTCAAGAAAACAAGAAAATAGAAGCATACCAAAAGATGTATCAGAAGCAATGCGAGTTGATGTCGAAATGGAATCAACCGCCACCAAAGATTCCTGTTCAAATTGCCCACTTGTACCCACCAAGTCCTTTGAATCCAAATTATTTGAAAGCGCTCGAACAACACGGTACCGAAGTTACTGATGAAATGAGAAAACTGGCGGAAGAAGCTGCTGCTGAATCCTCTGTTATTGACGCTAAACCAGGCTCAAATACAGAGAAAATGGCTGGTAATATCTTATCCAGTTTGCAAGAGGCACAAGAAGAAGAAGAGGCCCCAGTGTTGAAATTGGGTGACGCTTCTGTTGCTGCGCCTTTCACATCCAAGTTGGCCAATGTCACCACAGTTGTTAACGTCATCAGACAGGGTAGATGCGCCTTGGTGTCGACCATCCAGATGTACAAGATATTGGCTTTGAACTGTTTAATCTCTGCATACTCCTTGTCCGTCTTGTACTTGGCTGGTATCAAGTTCGGTGACGCACAGGCTACTGTTTCCGGTATTTTGCTCTCCGTCTGTTTCATGTCGATTTCCAGAGGTAAGTCCCTTGACAAGTTGTCGAAGGAAAGACCACAACCTGGTATCTTCAACATCTACATCATGGGCTCGATCTTGGGACAGTTTGCAGTCCATCTGACTGCGTTGATTTACATCACCAAGGAGATTTACATTTTGGAGCCACGTGAGCCGCAAATCGACCTCGACAAGACGTTCTCGCCTTCTTTGCTCAACACTGCGATGTTTTTGATCCAGCTCTCCCAACAGGTGAGTACCTTCACCGTCAACTACATCGGCAGACCTTTCAGAGAGTCTATACACGAAAACAAGGGGATGTACTATGGTATCATGGGTGTCGCCTTTTTGTGCCTCTCCGGCTCCACCGAGTTCATGCCCGAGTTGAACCAGGCCATGCAGTTCGTCCCTATGGTTCCGGCCTTCAAGTTCAAGTTGACTGTTACCATGATTTTGGACTTCTTCATTGCGTGGATCATCGAGATCAGCTTGAAGTACTTCTTCATGGACTTCAAGGCTGCCGACATCGCCGACCGGGCCTACGACGACGACAGCAACGTCACCACCTCCGACGAGGAGAAGAAGACCCAGTAGTTTGGTTCTCCCCGCTTATCGGCCTCTCTTCTCCCTACCCATCTATACTCTTTATACTATATTAACCCGTCCTTGACGTCTACACTCTTTGCCGCGCAACAATAGAATGCGCCTTTGCCAGGTACCGAGGACACAATTCTCGTCTGCGAAAAGACTAGGAGGGCCAAGCGAGCCTGGACAGGCTGGCTGCGGACGGTGATCCGCCTGGAAGTTAGTGGACTACTTGGCCAGATCCCGTTGGCACAAATGGATCGTAGTGTGGGCTGGGGTTTGTTTAGGCAGTTCTGGGTGTATTGCATCGTACAAGAAAAATGAGAGGTATGTGGATGAGTCCTTGGTGGACATGGCAATGGGAGGGGGCTAGCCAAAGTGGGATATACTTTTCTGACCCCGAATTATCTTCTGGAACAGGATACTAACAGGAAAAATTCTTTTCTCCCTTCTTTCCCTCTAACTGCAGACTACAAATTAGTTGTGCTAGGTGCTGGAGGTGTTGGTAAGTCATGTTTGACTGTCCAGTTTGTGCAGGGGATATACATTGACACGTATGATCCGACGATTGAAGATTCGTACTCCAAGGAAATAGAGGTGGATGGACGTGCGTGCAACCTCGAGATACTGGACACTGCCGGCGTTGCACAGTTTACTGCAATGCGGGAGTTGTACATCAAGAACGGACAGGGCTTTCTCTTGGTGTACTCTGTCACGGACAAGAAGTCACTACAGGAGCTGTTGTCAATCCGAGAACAGATCATTCGGATCAAGGGGACAAGCAACATTCCAATGGTATTGGTTGGTAACAAATGCGATCTGGCCGAGGAAAGAGAACTCGAGCCGGAGGATGGCATAGACGTTTCCAAGCAGTGGAACAAGGTTCCATTTTACGAAACAAGCGCAATGTACCGAATGAACGTCGATGACGCATTTGTCGATGTCGTGAGACAGATCATCAGAAAGGAGGTCCAGCAGCAACAAGTCACAGAGGACCACCAGCAGCAACAACAGCCTCAGCAGCAACAACTGCCAAGTACGGCAGGAAGTTCGGCTTTGCCGAAACAAAATGGACTGAGTTCCAACAAACAAAACCAGAGCTCGGCTCCGGGCAGTGCGACACAGTCTTCAAGGACGCCTCAGAACCCGCAGAATCCGCAAAAAAACCCACAACAGCAGAGAGCTGCACTCGCCGCTCAGAACGCAAGATCCGCTCCACCGAAGAAGGCGAAGAAGAGCAGAAAGTGTGTGATTTTGTGAACAGAGTCGGCCTGCTTGTACTCCCCTTTTTTTTAATACTCCTTGCTGCTTATTGCTTTCCTAAAACTATTCCCCCTATTGAAGTTTCTTCCTGGATATTCGTATATCGTCTTCTACAGAAGGCTGCAGATGTTTTTTTGAGCTAGATCTTTGTTTGTTACAATTACAGTTACTACCACTTTTACTATCTTTATCGCTTCCACTTGACTTATAGACTCAAAGAAAAACCTTCAGTCTCTTCATCTTTTTCTATAATCATACATACATGAACTTTTAATCATCGTACTGCAGACCATATAGAGGACCACAGTCCAGGTCTGACTACTGTGCCATCTTTGGGATCAAGTATAGCCTCCCTTATGCTCATGTTCAATCACACGGTTAAACGAACCTCATGGACACCAAATGCTTCATATCAGGCAACAAAGCACGTCAACGTCTTTTGTTTAACAATTACCGAATTAGGACAAAGGCGCAGATCCTACTCGATTTAGGCAGCCAACGCGTCGGAAAAAGTGAAATCTTACGTAAAGATGGAGACTATATCTTAAAACTAAAACTTTTTCGGGGCTTTACATTTAGTTTCACTAAAGAGAGTTGACCTTGTCGGAAGATGGCTGGCAAACGCTTACTCGTATGAGGAGCTGTGGTGTAAGAGTTGCATGGCTGTTGCATGCTACATTTTGCCGATATGTAAATGTGAGAAGCAAAGAAGCCTGGCGACAATTTTGAGATCAATAGGAAAGATAAAGTTTCTGTGACAGCCATATAGTGCACACCCCTTACATTCTGTAGAAAAAAAAGAAAAATGATTATGTAAGCACATATATGCTGCTTGCGTTTTGGAGAGATCTCCACTTGCTGGTTCTCATCCGTAACGGTATCAATTAGCAGAGGATGTGGCAGTAAAACATATTGAAAAGAGCTAGAAATGTTCAATAGTTATACGTCGATATGTCAAAGTTTTAGGCACAACTAAGCGGTTGGCCCTGTTGCGACAACCTCCGCTACAAAAAACTTTACTCTTTTTCGAGTCTAGCTTGATGTCGATTTCAGAATTCATACTTAGCTCCAGCTTTTTTACATCTCCATGGGGTGGGCATCTGAGTATCGCATACTTTGATGTCGAATCTTCGTGTCCTCGTCGAGGAACAAGTAAATTTCATAATTAATCACGTGATCTATTGATTACGTAACGTTTTTTAAACTCAAGCGCCTAGAGTGCAGCTACGGCAAGAGCCGATTTCTAAAACTACTTTTTGTGCAAATGCACAAAGGCTTAATAATAAGATACAGGAAAGTTTTTCACAGATGAGCATTACAAATGAAGGCTATGGGTTTATATTGATACTTAACCTGAAATTGTACCCAAATTTTACACCTTCACAACAAAGGCAGTTTGGCCGAGTGGTCTAAGGCGTCAGGTTAAGGTCCTGGTCTCTTCGGAGGCGTGGGTTCGAACCCCACAGCTGTCATTTATTTTTTATTTTTATTGCCACAATGATGGGAAGTGATGGGTTATCTATCTTTTTTTTCACTAGAACTCTACGTTCTATCCCGTCGTGTCAAATCAATTGCTATTAATTCCATTAGTTATAAACAGTCACTAATGTCCACATTTTACCTCATACTGGGTGTAATTCTACTCCTTTCTTCGATAGCACTCATAGTTTTGCTCGGAGATCTCCCCAATTATAGAGGAACCATTCTGCATAAGTTGAATCAACTACTTGTTGATAGAGTTGCACACAAAATTACTCTCCAATTTACCACACTCGATAAGAGATTTTTCAACGGATACCTATCGTCAGATGAATCACTACGAAGATTAGGCTGGATTGCAGGTTGGATCATACCTGTGTTCTATCTAGCCGTGTTCAGTCGATGTCTTGCTTTTTTCTTCCAGTATACATACCCTCAAATTCTAAAGTTGTCTTCTGAAGTTAACTGGACTCTGAGGTACTGGATTTTTATACTGCCACCGATACTTCTCAACTATGGCTCGTTCTTTCTTGCAGTGTTATCTGACCCAGGTTATATGTTAGAGTCAATTGATAAGGAACACGTCAACATTAGTAAAATCCAATCTGAGTTTCCGTATGATGATCTAATATTTTTCAAGGTGGATTGCTCCACTTGCAAATTCGTGAAACCAGCCAGAAGCAAGCATTGCTCAAATTGTGACAAATGTGTCTTGATGTTTGATCACCATTGCATTTGGTTAAATAATGATGTGGCATACTACACCTACCGATGGTTTCTGTTATTTTTGTTCTCAACTTGTTTCATTTTTCTATACGGTGGGTATCTTTCATATTACAGTTTGAAGCTTGAAATCCAAATTTCCAAAGATATACCCAAAACTATAACTGCAGCTCCATTGTTGCTAAAGTACTGGAGATTGATTAAAAATACTACGTTTGCTAACGAGATATCAGGAATATTGCTTCTTCTATGCATGTTCCTCTTTCCGGCCGTATCCTTCTTTTTGGGAGAAACTTTATGGTCCGTATATCTTGGAGTTACCACGAACGAAACTGCAAAGTGGGACTACATTAACTTGTTGGTCCAAAATGAAATGCTTTACGAATTCATTCCGAGAAACGGAGATGCTAATGTTTTTCTTATCTTGAATACTAGGTTACCCAATGGTACGATCCAATTCATCAAGTTAGAAGACAGAAAACCATTTAACAATGATACCGGAGGGCATTTGAGAAGGATAAAAAATTGGGATGACATGAACAACGTTTACGATATGGGCTTTTGGAAAAATTTACACCAAAGACTGTTTCCCAAAAAGTTGTTTTGAATTTGAAGTTTTATTACAATCAACTTTTTTGAAATTGTTACAGAATAAATATATAGATTAAGGAAAATGTAAAACGGAATATACATGTAAGTAAACATCATTAAGAAAAAAAAAATTTGTAGAAGAAAATAAATATACATGGATTTTCACATTGAGTGAAGTGGCAAGAAAATAATAGTTTGAGAAACGTAACCAAAATTAAATTGGTGATGCCTGTTTGTGGACAAGCAGAAAATGTTCAACCTCAACGTTCAATTTGATAAGTTACTCAGTAAACTTCTGGCATTGGTCAATTCTGGAAGCTCAATACTGGTTCTCATTCCCTCGAGACTGACGCCTCTATTCTCTACGTCATCCACATCACGCAGATCCATTTTTCTCTTTGTCTGTTCAAAACTGTCATCAATATTTTGCTTGTTTTTCACAGAGAAACTTGGACTTGTCATTGAACCATCTGCGTTTCGATGACCTTTGTGAAAATCCATCTCAATTTCTTCTGTTGCCAAACTTTCAACTGATGGATTCGTAGGAATAGCAGGTGAGAATTTGTTTTGCTTCCCGCTAAACATACGCTTGAATGTACCTCCACGGCTGCCACCAGTACCGTTAATCGAATCTCTGTAAGACGGACCGGGTGCAGGAAAGTCAACAGGTGATATGTGGGCTTCAAGAGTGTGAGACTGGGAGTATTTAGAAATGACAGGTCTATTAGGGTCTGTTGGATCGTAATCTTTCGGATACTGCTTGAAATCACCCTTGTCAACGCATTCTCGAATGATCTCAATATCTTTTGGATATAGAACAGAACATGCAAAGTCATACGCAAAACGTGGTAACATACACATCAAAAACCCAATGAAGAAACATGCCCAGAATGAAGGTGCGCCATACAGACGTGCTGCCACTTTGTAAAATTCTGATGAATTTGTAGATGAGGACCATATACCAGTCCAAGCAAAAAGAATAATATTTGAAATAAAATTGATCAAACATGATAGCCAATCCCATCTATATTGTCTCATCATCACATAAGAGTTACATGAGACAATTGCAATTGATGCAACCAATGCACCAAAATAGTATCTGTGATCCAACTGCAAACCAATGTTTGAAACGATACCATTTTTGTAATACATGAAATATGGATAGAAAAACGATATGATAGATTGGTAAAAACCATCAACCATGTACCAATAAAATTTTTCAACATTCCACTCAGTTCTTAAGATACCTGTTCTGTACAATTGTGGAACTAAAAGAGAAATGTAATCATCAACATCTTGATCGAATATACCCAAGAAAATGACAGGGAGTGAGGTGAACGCCAAGTTGTAGAACATGAGGTATGTATATTCAAACAAATATGTACCATCAAAATTATCATAAATACCATACCAAAATAACGCCAATGTGAAAATAACATTTTTGTAAAAAAAGCATGGAATCATTTCAGCCAATCTTTTGTAAGACCATCTACCATGAACAAGAACCAAACGAGCCAAATATCTGAATTGACCAACGGCGTAATCGGAAGACATAACAGCTTGGGTTCCTTCTTCACCGGCAATACCAACACCAACATTGGCAGCCTGGATCATGGCAACGTCATTGGAACCATCTCCAATGGCTAATGTCATAACATCCAAAGTTTCCTTGACCAACTTAACAACGGATGCCTTTTGAGCCGGTGAGACTCTACAGCATAGAACAGCCTTACACTGCTTGCAAAGAAGCAAAAATTTGATTCTGAGAGAATCACCTAAGGCCAACTTCAAAGCATCACCATCAATGACAACACCAAAGTTACCTCTCGGTGGTTGGTGAATTTTCTTTTCTCTTTCCAACTCTTCGGCAGATCCAAGCATATCAAAATTCTCTTCGAGATACTTCTCAATGAGAAATTTGATCATTTCTCCTGGATCATCCATGACTGTATCCTTTAAATCATCTGGAACAATTTTTTCAACATCTTCACCAGAAGTTTTGATAACCAATAATTGCATGGTGTTTTCTAGTAAATTGCATGAGAACCCAATATTGATTGCGGTTTCCACCTTATCACCAGTAAGAACCCACAATTTGATACCAGCTCTTGCTAGAAGTTGAATACAATCAGGGACACCATCTTGTAGTCTATCTTCAATTGCTGTACCACCAAGCAAAATTAAGTCTTTTTCGATCGATGAAGCAACCTCTTCCATCTTATCTTCTCTGTTTTGTAACGATGAGGAAGCAGCTTTGTGACGTTTTTGCCAATCTTGATATTGCGCCCAGTTCAGTTGCTTTTGCGCAATACATAAAGTTCTTAAACCTTCAGTTGCAAATTGCTCCAAATGAATAGCGGTTTTCTCAAGAAGAGTTTTGTCATTTTTATCACTTAACCGAGAGTAAATGATAGAATCTGCACCTTTACAAATCAATAATGCTCTTGGCTCACCACCTGGAGTCACTGGAGGTAATTTGATGATTGCACTCATTCTCTTTCTCGTTGAGTTGAATTCCAGGATATTCAGAATTTGATACTCCTTCTCTTCTCCCTGAACATTCAAAATCAAACCGTTCTTTGTACGGTTGACAAAAGAGAAACCAACGTCTCTTGCGGTTGCAACAAGAGCAGCTTCATCGGGAGATTGGGCTCTCAATTCAAATTTAGTGGGGTCTTTTTCAGATCTTTCTGTTAAAACACTATGACAGAGAGCCAATGCTAACATGAAATTTTCCGTTGCTTGTTTTTGAGTATCACCACTTTGACCACTCAAGTCTTTAGAAAACTTTTTAGAAATGAAGGTCAAATCTTTATCGATGGTATCGGAAATAGCACCTTTATTGATTTCTTTTAGCTGTTTGATCATTTCAATTTTATCGGATGCAATACCCTTTTTCTCTACGACGACTTCTTCATCCACGTTTATACCTTGTCTTCTTCTAATTTCCATATATGCCTCAGTATAAGCTCTTCCGTAACTGACACCATTGATAGTACACTTCTTGAATTCCATGACATTTTGAGTCAAGGTACCAGTTTTGTCACTGAAAATATACTCGATTTGACCTAAGTCATCAGATATATTCCATGTTTTAGGAACACAAGGATAGTCCAATTTTTCATAGTACATCTTGACATCTGAGTATATGAAATATGCTTGAGCAGTTTTGATAATCTCAATCGAAATGTAAAGGGAAATCGGAACCAAAGATTGGTATAAAATAATAGCCACAAAAAAACTAATAATACCATTGACAGCTGCAGAACCAACCACACTTCCGTATTCAAAATAAGATCTCGAGACGTTCTTGTAGTCATAGTAGACACCATTTACAATAGCTGAAACAAAACAAAGAACAAATAAAAGCAGGAAATTCAAAATGACAGACCAGTTTAATTCTTTTGCAATTCTTGACTTTTTCGTTGGAGTTAAACCCGAATTGAGCATGATTTTCGTGTCGTTACCAGTGAAAACGACCATTCCAACAACCCATTTTGTGTTTCTCAACGAACATCCTCTTAATAGCATATTATTGATATTGACGGGTTCATTGCAAAGTTCTCCACGCTCATCATCTCCATTTGCATAATAGTTCAGGTTTCCTTCGTAACTGTATAAATTGGATTTTGGGCCTTCACTTTCGAGCCAGAACTTACATTTTGCTAAATCATCAACGGAAATCAAATCACCATGGGAACACTTCAACGCTTGTTTAACTTTCAAGTTGGTCTCACCATCCAAATTTTTTGTCTCTACATAACAAGCACCATCAGAGTCTGATGTTGAAAGAATGACAATATCAACAGGGATCGAGTCGTTATTTTTGATTTTGACAATATCACCTACATGAATGTTTTTCCAGTACTCTTTTTTGAAAGTTGGATGCGCAATATAATCATCACTGTATTCAGAGACGAAAGGTGGCATCTCATTTTCATGAGTATTGACAATGACATCATCGGCATCCTTATTTTCAAGAGTTATTGGATCACTGAAAGGATTCAGATCGGTACTTTCTTGCATTGCTGAAGAGTCATTATATCTTTGTTGCTGTAAACTTCTTCTGTAATCAATGCTGTCCAAAGATTTTCTCGGAAATGCTGAGTCCTCCGCCAATGGATCTATAGCTTTTTGGTTTTTCAATCTTCTAAATATGGCCAGCATTATTCTTGTGGTTGCCTTTTTTAATTTTCTCCATAAACTGACATTTTCACCATTAAAGTTAGGATTGTCCATGCCTTTCAAGACATGAGTTATCTGGTTATTCACCTCCAAGTCCAATACAGTTCTTCTTGAGTCCTCCAGTGCATCTTTGAAGGCTGTGATTGCAACAACGACAATCAAGGGAACGGCAGAAAGCGCAGGGTTAGGAACACCAAAGATCTCGAAAGCACCCAAAATATTCATGGTTAAGAAATAAATGTTGGCAACATTACCAAATTGATAGTATAAATTCTTAGGCACAAAAGTCAACGGCGTATATTTTGTGGTTCTAATCTTATTTCTTGCGTATTGCGGAGGCCTGCCTTCATCGTCTAAACTGGTTGCGGGCAGAGGCATGTTCCAGTAAACGTCTCTTTTGATGTGGGAAATATCCTTCTCATCTTTGTTTGTGTTGTCGTACTTGAGTTCGTCGTCATCATTATCGGTTTTGGGAAAAAACTGAGGCGGTAGGGAGCTTTCCAAAACCCTCTTTAGCGTTTTATTCCTTTGCAAGGGCCTACCATCCTTTTTACGCTGGGTACCCCATCTGTGTCTCTGGAAGGTTGTCTTATTTCTTTGCAAATGTTCAGGTTTATTGCCTCTCAATTCACCTAAATCATCTAGTCCTTCATCGCCTTCGTCGTCTTCGGCGAATTTCAGGTCTCTGTTTTCTATGTTTGAGGATTTCAAGTTCACCTGAGTAAAGGCCGAAGGAGCAAAGGATGACGAATCCTGATGGAGCATCGGGGTCTTGCCCATCGAGCTTGCATCTTCGAAGTCGTCGCCTGCCTTTGACGAGGACGTTGAGTAACCGGAGAAGTGTCTTTTGTTAAGGTTCGACCTGTAGCCGACCGAGGGGGAAGGCAACGGCCCGTCTGAGTCCTGGAAGACGTATTTGTCATCAAAAGGGCTATTCATGCCGTTGTCATTTCCGGACATTGTGTGTAGGTTTGGCCTGTTGATTCTTTGTGCGAGCTTTTGTGTTCAGGAGTTTCTGTACCAGGACAGGGTGCCGGAATGCTGATCTGCGGAACAGACGCAGTGAGGTGGTGATGTTAGTAATCCGATATCCGAGCCTTCACTTTTTCGGCCTAGAAGAGACGAAAAAAAATAATGCTGTAGTGGGTGAGCAGAAGAAAAAGAGAGAACACGTACTTCCGCTACGTATTATCAGGGGGTATACGTGTGTGTCCACACGATCTCTTGGCGTGTGCAGTAGATGGATACTCCGACAGCTGCCTGTGTGAGTATGCAGAGCTGCGATGATGTGGCAGCCAAAGGCGGATGTCCTTGGTTAGTAGATAGAGAAGCAAAATGCAGTGCACCTCAGATCAACACGAATATTTCTGCCGGGTGTGGTATGTGCCAGAGGAGCAGATCAACGTGAGAGCGGGAGCAACGGAACAGCAACAACAATCGGACCAGGCAAAGTTCAGCTAGACGACAACAGCCAACTAGTGTTTGTGTGTGTGTAGATGAGAATCCCCCTCCTGCTGAAACCCGAAACCCGGATATAAGCAGTGACAGCAGAAACTCAGCAAACAGACAATCCGTGTTCAACCACCGCCGCCAGACGGCTCTCCTTCCCTGCTGTACTGACTGTACTGTCCGGCCGCCCTTTCACGGAGCCGCAGCTCGCAAAAATCAAAAAAATTAAAAAATTCAAAAATGGTAAAAGCGAAAACCCGAGAAAAACAGAATTTAGACAGACAAGACGTGTCGCAGCCCAACGGCAAACGGAAAGCGGAAGATAAAAACCGAGATCCGAGCTGAGCTTTTTTTCTGTGTTGCCCCCCGGTCTTTCCGAATGCGGCAGGGGAAAAAAAGTTGCCCCCGACGATCGGCCAGAAAAAGCGAAAATCGGCGCCTGCCGACATGAATGCACAGTAGGTGAGAACAATCGCTGGCAGCGGTGGCGTACTCCGGAATGAGGGAGGAGAGAAAAAGATGAGGCTCGGCCATCTCGTGGACGGCCAGACAGCCCGGAGCAGGGTGGCCAGCTGAAAGGGACGAAAGGCAAGGAGCCGAGCCATTTGACTAGAAAGGACAGGGTGGGACGGAGCTTGCAGAGACACACACGCGGGCTGTAGCAGATAGAGCTATAGATCGACAGCCAGCGCCAGATCCCCCTGTCTAGGCCTTCTCCCCGCCCTGTGCACCCGACACGTCCACGGTTAGAGGACCCACACACCAGGCAAGGCCACAGTCATAGATGACGGGAGACACGGAGCACGCGACGAAGCATACGCATGCGCACACGCAGATCCGGATCCCGAGGAACTCGTTCACGGCGTTTCGACTCAAGTACTGCGATGCGCTGGAGCTATACAACACATCCACGGTGATATTCATCGGAAACATCCCGCCGGCCTGGATCTTGGACAAGAAGTCGCTTCTTCTTGCCAGGCTCAACCGTTTGGACAGCATCAAGGCCTCGCGGAACCAGCACCCAGAGCACAGCACGCTTCAACACTTTGAAAACGCCATCCACTTCTCAGACACGAGTGCTACTGCAGGCAGCACGGACTTTGGCGACAAAAACGGCGACAATGACGGCGACAAGGCGGCGGAGGCAGAAGATGGCGGTGGCAGCGGTTTCCACAACGACGCCCATTCCGTCCACCCCTCCTTGAAGACCCGATTAAAGGCGAAATTCTTGCACAGTACGATCCACGTGCCGAACCTGCATCTGAAAACAAACGAAAATCTGGACAAAGAGACACTGTCAAAGCTGGAGTATCATCAGTACGATACTCCTGCTCAGAGCTCTCACTGCTTGCTTAATGTTCCCGCTCACAAGCCCCGAGGTGCAAGTTTCTCGGACACTAAAGACAGTGATAATGGCAGCTCCAGTACCGCCAAGGAGGATTCCGTGAATCTCGCCAAAACTCCCACCGATGTTGTTTCTTTCAGCATACCGAGAGAGTCCATCCAAAGGAAGAACTCGGAGTTTCACTTACTTTTGGATGAAAAACTTTCTTCTCCCGAGCTCGGAGACGACTCTGTCTCAACCGCAAACAGCTCTTTTGCGCCAATCGATGAGGCCAAGGGCTCAGATGAAAGTCAATATAGTTCGTCATGTCCGGAATCATCGTCTGTTTCTCAAACTTCTGAAGCCCCGCAATCCTTACAACTCTTTCTCAAGAAGCCTGACGAGGAGAAGCAAGAGATCCTCAAGGAAGAAATAGACAACGCAATGCTGTCGTTGCAAAAAACGTACAACGTCGGAAATGGAAAGGAACCTTCAGAGAGCAGTGATGCTGATTCTTTTGTAACTGCCGAAGAAACACCTTTAGATTCTCCCTCGGAATCAAAAGATGACCTCATGAGCTTGCCAGCTCACGCAGTCCCTGAAAGCAAAGAACGGAAGTCTGTTTCCTTCCAAACTCCTGCTTCAATCAAAATGACTAATGCCACCAGCATGTATACCCTCCAATCACAAAGATTGGCATTGGATAAACAAACACCTTTCCCCTACATGAATAGTCGCAGCAATTATAAAACAGATGATGGGGATGAGAAATCACAGTTTAAAACCCATGTTTACAGCGTGAACGAAGCTTATACAGACATTGATGATGAAATTGCAGAAAGTTACAACATACTGAAAACCAAAACGATTGGTGCTAAACTAGGATTAACTGGGGAAATAAATAAATTCGAACATAAGAGAAAAATGAAAAAGTTGTTGCAACATTTTCAAGCTGGGGAAATCATAAAGATGGAAAAAATGCTAGTGATGGTCTCTACCATAGAGAAGTTCAAATTGAATTCGAACTTGCAAAAAAGTACAAGAATTTTGGAGCGTTGGCGGGAATATATAACAGTCGTTAGAGCAACTAACGATGACGACTACCCGGCCATCATACAGTTCTTTAAAAGCAACCAAATTTTCAAAAAGGATGACTTGAAAAAGTTGAGAAAAGAGATATATGAAGAAGAGCTAGAAAAGCAACGTATGGAAGATGCAGAACCAGAGGAGGGCGAGGAGGCTAAAAGTGTGGAAGACATTGACTCCGACAAAGAGGCCGATGCCAACGAAGAGGTGTATTACGACAATGATGATAAAAGTTCGACAAGAAACATGAATACTATTGATCAAGAACTGGACTCGTTTGACGAAGAAAATGGCACTGTGGTAAATGATGACACAGGAAACTCAACTTTAAGGTCAACTATTAGTAAAATAAAGAATGCAAAGAAAAAGCACGAGAGTAAGAAAAAGTTGAAAAAGTTGAAGAGTAAAGTATCCAACAAGTCTGTGTGTGATCAATCTCCATCCTTTGATCAGTTTCCGCATGGGAGAAAGAACAAAAATTGTCACTTTTCTTTAGTTATTTCACGTCACGATGTTAATGTCGAGTTTGCCAATCTTTTGGATAAAAGCATCAGGATTACAAAAGAAAAGAAACGCTGCACCATAATTTACACACTGTTGACTCATTCAACTTCTTCAGCGATTGTTTGGTTTAGTTTTTTGAGACAACTTCTCAATTCCAAAGTTGCAGATAATGCTGCAAAATCTATGTTAATTAGTATTCCTTCTCTTAACATCTCTTTCACCATAACTGGCGCCAAAACTTTTTACAAGGCCTACCTTGCAGAGCGCACGGTGATGTCCGATTATGTTATGATCAAGTACAGCAAAGACGGCTATCAGTTTCCCCAGATAAGAAGTTTTGAAGAAATGTTGGAAATCATAGAAAAAAAAGTTTCCGAGCTTGAGAGATACGGAAAGTTACCGACTGATGCAACAGCTAAAGAATTTCTAAAAAAACTCAAAACAGACAAATCGTATTTGGCATTAACATTCAGAAAGTATGATCGTCTAGAATGGATCTTGGGTGAAAGTGAGCTAATTGTACAGATTTTATGGAATATATTTGCGTCTTCTTATGAGCTTGAATTGAGAGAATTCCAACACGAGTCTCATATTTTAGGTGACTGCTCATTAGTTGAACCCCTACCCATTGAAGGGTTTGTGGTTAAATTATCAAATCGGAGGGGTAAGCTTACATCCAGCATTGGAAGACAATATTACAAACTTCTTTATGCTTTCACAGTTGAGAATTTGCTCTTTCTTCAAGACTTTTATAACGCTGTTCCAGTATTGCCATACCCCGCTGAACCTCAGCGTAAACTAATCTCTCCTGCAGGTGATGTTTTAAACTTGAAAGGATTAGAGGAAGCCTCTTCTTTTGACCCAACAACCTATCAGCAGACACCCTACCCTAGGACAATGCATCATATACAATGGTTGAAACCGGGGATATCTCCAGAAGAATATGCATCTCACGATGCTGATGCTTTGTATGAAGCAGAAAGGCGTGCTTGTATGATCTCGAATGCTTCTGCTGTTGTGGACCTTTGCAAAGTGAAAGATATAAGACTAGTCCCAAAACAAGACATCAGCCTTGTCGTAAGGACAGCTAGTCGTGCCACCTGGAAGATTCAGCAGCTTCAATCTTCCGCTACAAACAAGTCCTTGTTTAAAACACTTTCGGGAAATATCGGAGCAGTTGAAGATGATGAATATGTTGAAAACTGTTTGGAGCTTGTGATGGAAAATGGATCCATAATGAGATTTCAAGTCTCTTCCCGTACGATAAGGAATGAATGGGCAAAAAACTTAGGAAAATTAAGTGAATACTGGACATTGAAAAAAAGAGAAGACTTAATCCGCCATGTGTTACTGAAAGAAAAGAACTTAACATTGATGAATACGCACAACGATGATTATTACGAATCGTTGATTGCTAATGAAAATGAAGCTAGTTGTTCTAAATGGGAAATGTCAAAAGCTTATACCGATACTCAGCTATATAGTATATCATCTTACGTTTTAGACAAGCCAGTTCTTATGGAAGGATACATTTATTGCAAGAAATTCAAGAGTAAACAGTTTAAACTTTTCTATGCTGTGTTAAGCCCTGGAGTTCTTGTGGTGTATGATATTTTCAAAAGGTCCAAAAGAACAGGAGTTGCCCGAAACACAACTTATTACAGGCGTTATGCTGCGATATCACTAGCAAGCTGTTACGTTTTTGCCAATACAGGAAAATCGAGCACTGATAGTAAAGGGAAAGTGTTCTTTAGTTTGTCATCCGGAGAGGACGGATTGCCGAGAGTCTATGGTGACGGATGGAGAAGTAGTGAATCTGCATATGAGAGATCTTTCACTCTCTGGTTTGGTTCCAAGAAGATCATGATGAAAAACATCAAGGAAAAAACAGGCACACGATTAAGTACAGATGTTAAAAGAAGTTCAGCTGAGAGTGAGGTCAACTCTGCTCGCTTAACTTCTGACGCCGAGATAGAAGCTTCCGATTTTGATCCAAACACCAAAACAAAAAAGTCGAAGAATATAGGAAAGAAAAAGAAGCCCAAAACGTTGAGCTTTTCTAGGTTGAAAAAGAAGAAGAAGAAGTCCTCAGAGCAAAATCAAATAGTCAATGACTATGGTACTGTCAGTGAATCTAGTGATGAAAGTACCGATAACAGTAATGACGAAGTTGGTGTATTCCGATCTAGTTCTGAATCCGAAACGAGAACAGAAACAGAAACGGAAACGGATACAGAAGCGGAATCTGATTCTGATTCGAGTACGGATTACGAGTATGAAAAAGAGGTTTTTAATGTAGGTGATACAGATGTGCATGAAAGGATTTCTACTAGAGAATTACTGAAATCGGCTTCCAGGCTTGGAGTTACGGGAAGGGCTATCAATTTTTTGGCCAGATCCCGAGTAGACAGAGACCTTTGGGTAACGAGATTGATGACCGAAGTGGAAAGGTTTTCAGAAAATCGAAACAACGATATACAACTGGTCTGATTATAAACTGTTTCGTGTGTCTGAGTTGATTTGGCCACGAAATATAAATTTTGTATTGTATTTTGTAAGTTTCGTACACATGTAGATTACTCAAATGCTAATTGTTTAGATACTAATGACAATTTTGTGGGCACTCCTCGATAAATCAGCGACTTTCAAAAAGAGGAGTGTTGTACGGTCTTTTCTATCAAATTATTTGAACTTGAAAACAAACCAGAATGTCGCTTCTTACAGTGCTTTCCACACATAAAGCATCTCATCCCATCCGGTACTTGCGACAAATCCCCTTCCCCAAAGAGACCAGTCACAACCCAACACAAACTCTCTGTGTCTGTCAAAATTTCCGACCAAGGCTTCGCCATGTTTCATCCGCAGTCTGCTCATATACTTTGCGTTTTCGTCGGTTTGATCCTTCCACACCTTACATGTCATATCGTATGAGCAAGAAAGCAAAGTGTCTGAGGAGTGAGGAGACCACTGTACTTTCCGTACTGCAAAATCATGCCCAATAAGCTTGTTGATGGGTGAAGGGCCAACCCTGTTCTTTTGTGCAAGGAAGTTACGTTGTAGATCAGGGATCATCCTCAAGTCCCATATTTTGATCGATTTGTCCACCGATGCTGTTGCAATAACCGTTGGTCTGTACTTGTTGTAATCACAGGAGAGGACCTCCAAGCCAGCGTGAGAAATAAAATCCAGCGTTAATGGGGTCGGAGCTCTAGTATCCCAGACTTGACAATGTGAGGCAGAGTTCACCGATATTATTATGGACGGATCGTGTGGTGAAAATGTAGCTTGATACACACAATCATTCACCGGGTTTTCTGCTACGGGTTTTGTCGATAAAGGAGGCTTGTCGCCCGATGGTATGTTTTCCGTTTGAGCTGTCATGTCTTTATTCGAGGTCAAGGTGAGAAGTGACTGGTCTCTGACAGGCGACCAGACCTTGATTGTACTGTCCCACGACGACGAGCAGAATATGGATTTATCCACCATGTTCCAGTAGACCGAAAACACTTCTCTCTGATGCTCATGGAACCTTTTGATCGGGAACTTGGGTAACGTGATATCGAACAGAGAAATCGAGCCGTCTCCTGAACATGTAAGAATCTGGTTTTCATGCAGCTCCGACCACGCAACATCAAACAAACCGTCCTGGGTATCGAAGTATGTATCTTGGGAAATTCTCCCATCGTTCCCTATCGTCAATATGTAGAGTCTGCCGTTTCCTACCAACCCGTAGTTTGCGGCAGTAGCCACTGCAAGTTTGTTATCGTAGAAGGGCGAATATTTGCAGGAATACCCGTTGTAGCCTGTGGTCCTGAAGGATAACATGTCTGGTCTGTCTGCGGGGCTTGCGCAAAGTGTACCAAGTGTACAGCGTGTACAAAAGGACAAACAGTGACGACATCCAAACTTCCAGTCTCCCTCTTCAGTGGCCAGTCTTTCAAGGCCGGACCCTTCTTCCCGTCTTGTACCCCCCTTCGCTAACGCTTATCGAATTATCTCACCTCCGGGTTTGCGGGAGCGGGATGGACCGATGAGGAGCTGGAACGGCTGCTGTCGAGGAACTTGCTTGTCACGGTCGTTAGTGTATTACATTATTTTTAAACATGCTAATATGCCATTACATAGCTGGGTAGTTGCTATATTTTACTATGTTAGGGGGGCCCAGCGGTTTCGGCAGCGCTAGGGTTTGCCACCGTACGAGGAAGACATGGGCTCTGTCACGGGAGAAGACTTGGTATCCCAGTTGATCAGCGATTGGGTGGTGTCGAGAGTCTTGTCATCTTTGCTTAGATCCTCGTTATGCATGTTGAAGAATGGGGAACTTGGCATCATCAGTCTGGTTTTCTTTGTCGATCCGGAATCGTCCTGCTCTTTGGAGGAGTCGGAGGTTTTACCATCGACTGCCATCGTGCTGCTAGCACCAGGATTGACGCTCCGGGGGTTCAATATAGACTTGTCTGTCGACGACATGTGCATTTCGAATGCCGTGTTACCAGGAGTCGTTCTCATGCCGTTGGGTGAATCTGCGTTTTGTTGAGACTGTGCTGTGCCGGGATCTCTAGGAGTGATCTCGTACTTCTCGTGTTGCGCTAGGATTCTGTCAATCTCAGGATCATCACACTCCGTGTTCTGGTTCCCGCTGGTGCCTGCACCCTGAGAGGATGTCTCTTCGAAGAAGTTGTAGTTCCAGTCGGCGTTCGACGCCCTGGTAGGAGAGCTTGGCTCGTTCGAGAAAGACTCAATTATCCGCTGGATGCTTGGAGAGATATCGTTCGCTCCAAACAAGCTGTGCATGCCGTCTTTGTTGCCATCAACGTGCCCATCGCCCTCTAAGCTGGTCGAGTTGCCATGCTGGTTGACGTTGGCAGTGTTGGAGCTGTAGATTTGGACATTAGGAGGCGGCATGTCCGGTGGTGGATAATTTTCTTTGTCGTCGTCGTCCATTGGAATCAACGTGGTATTGAGCTTTGTAGCATCTATTGGCACATTATCGTAGTCCCTGTAGTACTCCTCACCATTTTCGTTTGGCGTATTATTCTTGGATTGGCCTTTCAACGAAGAAGAGGAGGAAGAAGGCAGTCCAGAAATAGCATACTTACTCTCTGGAACTCTAAACATATCCTCAATGGGGTCGAGTTCAGTTGGTGGTTGTGTATTCAGGTGATGGAACTGTTGCAAGTTTTCATCATGGTGAGTCATGTTCTTATAGTTAGCAAATGTTGATTCGAGCTTGAGCAGTGCCATCAAGTCCTCATGCTTAAAATTTTCAACTTCATGAATCGTTTCATGGACGTTATGCTGAGAAAGCGCCGAGTTAGCAGCATTCTGCTTCTTCGACTTAGAAATGAAGCCATTCTGAAGATTCATTGGAGAAGAAAGTACAGGTGAGCTTGATGTGTCAATGCTCGAAGAATTAGGATTCGAAGCCGTTCCACGCTTCTTCTTGGTGCGTTTGGCAGTTGCTACTTTTGAATAAGGGTCATCCAGCAGGCCTCTTGCACCCAGCTCCCCCCTTTCACGCAATGATTTTGTGTTTCCTTTTGTTTGGTAGAAGTTACAAACTGTGCATAAGTAACCGGAGTTTGCCAACTGAAAGATTCCATCCTTATGGAACTTGTATGGAGGGGTAGTTGTTGACATACAATTGACACAACGCTTGGAAGGAAGAGCCCCTACGGTTGCTAGGGGAGTTTTCTTATTCTTCGATCCGACGGCATTGTCGCCAATCTTAACGACGGACTGGATAAAGCTCTTGCTCTTTCTTGCTCTTGTTGGCTGTGCATATTCATCGCCTTTGCTATTCTTGGGGAAGTTTGAAAAACGTGAAGATATTGGCTCCCCTCTGGCATCCACTTCTTCATCTACCCTTGAAGCTATCATATCTGATATTCTGATCCTATGAGCAAGAGAATCTTCGGTGACAAAGGGCAGGGACTGTGTGCGGGAAGCTAATTGGGGTAGGTTTCCCCTAGATGATGCTGTGCTGTTGTTTATTTTTTGATTAGCCGAAGAGCTTGATTTTCTAGCCCTTTTCCTTGGTTGAGAAGCATTGTGCTGTTGTTTCTGCTCAACGGTCTCATCCAAGTTCGGGTATGGACTGCTGCTACTGTTGTTTTCTGTGTATATTGGAAAGCAGTCCATTTGCTTCCTTTTGTTTGTGCCGATGCTATCAAGATGAGTGTTACCATTGTTGGCGCTGTTGCTGTTGGTACGACCGCTGTCATCACTCCGATTGAGCGAATTTATTGGACAAAGCCTCAGTTTGATATCCAACGTGTCAGCAGAAGCGTTTCCCTGATACAAGTTGATAAAATTTGCGGTCATTCGTCCCGTTATTATGAAGTTTGATCTCACGTCTTTGGTGATTTTGGTTAACAGCCCCGAACCGACGTAGGGCTCACCTGTTTCTATTATATCCTTATAGTAGATGGAGTAGTCCATTCCTTTCTGAAACCATTCTGGCGACACAGATTTCAACAAGTCTAGACATTTTTTGAGGTCGACACAGCCTATCTGAGCACCATTATGAGGAGGTTGGTTTGGCAAAGTGATGATTTTAGCGGACACTGGCTTGACCGATCTTGCCAGGAAAGTATTCCGATCGTCAAACGTGTAGAGCACTTTGAGAGTGACGTTCTTGTTGTATGGCTGGGGCATTAGCCCGTCTGATGAGCTCATTAGAGATTGGTGTAGGTGAAGACGGCTAGTAGTGAAGAAGCGCAAGTAGCAGTGGTAGACGAGAAGGAGGTGACACCGACAGCCCTGGCTCTAATAGTGGGATATACTCAAGACCAAGTATCTGTCTGACGAACGAAGCCAACGCAAGAGCTGTCCAACACCGTGACCAAGGGAAGATACACCAAAGCACACAGGCCACTGACTCGTCAATCTGTTGTGTGTGCTCCTCCTCAGACGAGAGAGAAATAGCTACGGGATAATATCGGAAAAAGCGAAAATAGAGGCACCAAGTTCCCAAAAAGGACGAAGGAGTGCTGTACGGAAGACACGAAGATGGGAAGCCACCCGCCATCTTCGTGTTTTAGAGAGGACGGCACAGGTTCGGGCAAAAGATCAACAATGGCATTCTGCAGAAGACGTAAATCTCAAACGGGACTGAAAAGAGCAAGCACCCACAAGGAGCCGCGTCCGTGTTACTGCTGGGACTTTTCGCGTCGCGGCGATCGGGCCTGCGCGCAGGTAAGTGGTGGTTACTGGGGGGGGGGAGAGGGAAAGACTCTCTACGGAGATGGAGACGGGATAGTATATTCGTGTAATTACAAACCTGAAAGGGTTCAGAAATGCGGTAGATGCAGATGCCGGGCGGGGTTGGGTAGCAAAGAGAAGTGTAAGGATGAGCAAGAAGAAGGTCCCGGCACTGGGACAGCAAAGACGGGGAAGTGTGCACAGTGGAGGGCCTAGGCCTTGTTGACAGATGCGAAGGGAGGGTGAATTTTGGGAACGTCTTTGTACCTGCGGTTGACTTCTGCTCTAGACACCTTCTTCAACTGCATGACCTCTGCATCCTGGATCATCAAGGTCTTGTAGTAGCTCCATCTGAAAATGGTCCACCAGGTGTTGTAGAACCTGTAGTTCGGCCACAAGGTGTTTGGGTACTCGATGACACTGTCCTGGTGGCACTGCCAGAGCATGTAGTCACTCAAACGGGTGTGGCCCGAGGTTCTCACGAGGATGTCGACCTTCTCAGAGGTGTCCTCGTAGTAGAAGTTGTTTTCGTACAAGGTCTCGTCGATCTCGTCGACGCTGATTTCGCCCTCGGTCACCTTGTCCACAAGCTGGTCCACGGCGTACCACATATCGTCTCTGGACGTGTACGGGAACGCGACGTATAGGGTATGCTTGGTGTGGTGCTTGGTCTTTTCCTCGACCAGCTCGATGTCCTGGAGCACGTCGTCGGGCAAGTACGACCTGTTGCCGATGATCTTTACCCGCACTTCGTGCAGGTCACACATCTGGTTTTCTCCGGAGAGCAAAGCAAGCTTGTACTTGAGCAAGGAGAAAATCGTGTCCACCTCCTCGGCCTTTCTGTTGAAGTTCTCGATCGAGAAGGCGTAGGTGGTGACGTTTTTCACCCCGACTCTGAAACAGCATTCTAGCACACGCATCAACGCCTCTGCACCGTACCTGTGTCCCTCCTTTAGCGGAAGACTGTGGTTTTTCGCAAACCGACGGTTGCCGTCCATCACAAACGAGATGTGTTTTGGGACCGGCCCTGCATCAATAGGAAGCGTTCCAGTTAGTATCTACCGCCGTCTGGGGACCAACACTGCACAACAAACATACCTGTTTTCAAGACATTGATCAAGATGTTCTGGACTGCCCCTTCAATGAGGGAGAACCCCGGAATGTACTGGAGGAAAAAACCTGCGTAGGAATCCATCGTATATCTGCTTCTACACGCTTGCTTTGTACACAAAACGAGTAGACTATTCCTCACGCCTTCAAGAACAGACTGCATCAGATTAAAGGCAAAAAAATGGTACCCATGCTCTTTATAAAGGGGAAACGGCCACGGATGATAAGGTTTGAAGCTGAGCATTGCAAATACGGCTCAGCACTTTTCCCAATCGGGAACTTGGCCCGGGGATGCTGCTGCGCCACAGACTTGGCCGGCACGCCAGGCCTGCGCCACGCTCAATGTTGGGAGCCGTTGGCGATGGGGCGTTAAATGGCGCTCGGAGGGCGGCGCCGGTGCCGTGACCGAGAGGGGCGACAGAAAACGGACGGACCGGAAACAAGTTAGTGGGTTGAGGTTGCGGTTCCGCGTTTGCGATATGGGAAAATGTCATGATTATTAATGTTATTATATTAGGGTTACAGAATAACATGGCGGGTAGGTGAAAGGAGAAAAAATGTGACATAGAGGAAAGTGAAGTAGAGTATAACAAAGGGCCATGAAGAAAAAAGAAGATAGGTACATGGGCTGAGAAGCAGATCAGTGAGTCTCAAGCCAGAAAGATATCATTGTAGTTAAACACAGATAAAATAATAAAACAGACGTAGATGTGGACGCAGAAACTTGAGGAGTTTCTTTCAAGTCCAAATGTTGCCTATAGCAAAGCCATAACACCCAAAGCAAAGGCCAAGCCAGCACCTGGAGCAGCGTAAGCGTTTGCAACAGCTCCGGCAGTGGAGGAAGAAGATGCAATGCTAGAGACAGGAGCAGACTGGGAGGCGGAAGCGGAGGCGCTGTCGGAAGACGCAGCAGCGTGGGAGGAAGCAGCGTGGGAGGAAGCATCGTGGGAGGAAGCAGCGTGGGAGGAAGCAGCGTGGGAGGAGGAGGCAGCGGAGGAGCCTGGAGCAGAGGAGGAAGGTGCCACAGAGGAGGAGGCGCCGGAAGAGGCGGCAGCGGAGGATCTTGCTTCGGAGGATCTTGCTTCGGAGGATCTTGCTTCGGAGGATCTTGGGGCAGCGGAGGATCTGGCGGAGCCGGAAGCATCTGTCGTGGTGGCGTCAGCGCCGAGCTCTGGAGCGATTCTGCTGGAGTACCATGGCAACTCGGTGGCAAAGGAGGAGATGGAGGCGAGCTCGGACGAGTCGACCAAGGTGGTGTAGGAGTCGTCAGTGTAGGTCTGGGCCTGTTGGTACAAGCTCAATAGCGGGCCGACATTGGCGGTGGTGTGTTCCTGGACAAAGCTCAAGTACTGGTTAGGGTTGGACTGGATGTCCGAGTTCAAGGCGACCAAGAGGTCTTCGGCCTGCGTGGAAGCGACGAGGGCAGCAACGGAAATAAGGACGGAGTGGGATAATTGCATCGTGAGTGTGTGTGTGTGTGGGTAGACGGAGTTCGGTTCTAGCAGAAAGACGTCGGATGGAGAGGGAGAACAAAACAGCAGTGAGGGGGCCACGGAAGAAACGCCATGGCGGGGCACCACCGCCCTACGAACCCACCAGAGCAGGAAAGAGCGTTACCTTTAAATACGCTGCGGTGCTCAAGACTTTCTCCGCTGACACCGCCGCATGCTCCGGCAAACAATAACAGAGCAACGCTCTACACGTCTTCGAGGAAGTCTGCTTTCTGTTTTTTTTCACCTTCTCGCACGCGCCCTCTTTACGGCCCAAACGGGCAAGAGTATGGCGCCCCGACAGAAGCTGTCAGCGCAGGCGCCCGATGCCTCCGAGTGAGCCCTGCTGGACACCGCTGTCTGCACTTGCTGCTGCGGGCCACATGTCTCAGCACGTCTCTGTGGACGACGTTGCTGCTGCATGTAGCTGCTGCTGCCGGTGCAGCTTTGGGGTCTCTGAGTGCAAGCCTGCGCCTGCGCGCGAGCGCAGGCGTCGAGGTGGAGAGGCGGAGAGGCCTGCAATAAGCGCTCCGGCAGACGTCCTGACCGGCATTGCCTGTCACGAGAACTGGCGTCAAGCGGACAGCAGCTGCGACCGTGTCTGCGTGTGGCGTTCGTTCTCCCGTGCACACCACGGCCCTCCGCAGGGGGAAACATCGTGTGGAGAAGCGGAGGACCCGCAGCAAGAAAAATGCTTCCCTGACCGGGGGCCATGCGGCCAGACTCCACCAGCAGGCCCGCAGGCTCTTGAGGGCGTTTCCTCGTCCCTCATGTTTACCCCGTGCTCCCCTGTTTTCTGTTTCTCTGCCTCTCCTTGCAGCACGCTCGGGCTAATAACCGTAGAGCAGACGCTTTGACCATGCAAGGTTCTATTTAGTTCTCTGCACACGACAGTATGCTCTCATGCAATGTAGGTCTGATTACGCAAGGGAGCAGTTTCCGTCACTGGCGGTGGGGGCCGCGTACGTAAGCAGAACAAGGCGGCGGACGCTGCTTACATAAGCGAAACCGAGATGGCACCGATCGACCTGCTTTTCCTCGGCGCCAACTCTACCCCGTTCCTTTCTCGCATGAATGTCGCAGCTTCTCAGAATCGGTTTGCCCTCACCATGATTAGTGATAATGCTCAGACGTAGAAGTGGAGAAGGTGGGCAATTGGAGAGCCTGGGCCAAACCATTTTGCAGCAAAACAGTAGCCATGTTCTTAACAAGAAGCGAGTACGACCGTGGTGTGTCCACGTTTTCCCCAGAGGGCCGTCTCTTTCAGGTGGAATACTCTCTCGAAGCCATCAAACTGGGTTCCACGGCGATCGGAATCTCGACAAATGAGGGCGTGATATTGAGTGTCGAAAAGCGGGTCTCATCGTCGCTTCTAGAAAGCGACAGCATCGAGAAGATCATGGAGATCGACTCTCACGTGGGCTGTGCGATGTCGGGGTTGACAGCAGACGCAAGATCGATGATCGACCACGCCAGAGTGGCGTCCGTCCAGCACGATCTCTACTACAACGAGCCAATTTCCGTGGAGTCGCTAACCCAGTCGGTCTGCGACTTGGCGTTGCGGTTCGGCGAGGGCGCCTCGGGCGAGAAGAGATTGATGTCCAGGCCTTTTGGTGTCGCATTGTTGATTGCCGGCTACGACGACGATAAGGGACCCCAGTTGTACCACGCAGAGCCTTCGGGCACCTTCTACAGATACGACGCCAAAGCCATTGGATCCGGGTCGGAAGGCGCACAGACGGAATTGCAGAACGAATATCACAAATCGCTAACCCTCAAGGAGGCAGAGGTCCTTTCTCTAAAGGTGCTCAAACAGGTGATGGAGGAGAAGTTGGACTCGAACAACACACAGCTAGCCAGTGTCACCAAGGAGGGCGGATATAGAATCTACTCCGACGAAGAGGTCGCCAAGATCATAGAACTGGTCAAAGAACAAGAGCGTGACGACCAGAAGATGGAAGAAGACTAGCTGCCGCATTGTGTCTGTATACCTGTGTAACGACGTAGATCGACCAACCATAGTCTGTGAACGAATTTTCCTCATTTCGGTGGGTTCTATTATTTCAGTTACTAGTATACACGTTTTATATCGAATCGGATGTGACGCACGCACTCGTCATTTCTTGGTCAAGATGTCCAAGCAGCTGGAATACTCGGGGAAGTCTTTCAACTTCGCAATGACTGCCTTCTCGAGCTTGTTGGCGTTCTTGTAGAACGTCGTGTTCTCTCCGTTGTACTGCCTACAGTTGTTGAAGATCAACGAACAGTCGTAAACAAAGTCATCCATGGTCTCGTATGCGTCGTTCTCCAACTTCACCTCCATTGTGCCCAAGTCCATCGGCTCCTTGATCACCTCGTAGTAGTCCGGAACTTCTGTCCTGTTCACTGGATGCAAAAACGGCCAGTTCGATGGATGGTTCTGCATCTCCGTCAATATCGTGAGCATGGCAATGTGGTGCGGACCGCGCTTCGGCTTCTGTGCCAGGTCGTCCATTTCCCTCGTCCAGCCGGCCTCCTTCAGACCCGGGATGTCAAACGGGTTTAGCGGCTCAAAGCTCTTCTGCTTGAAATGGTCGAGCCCCTTGTGGACAATATGGGACCTGCCAATCGACCGGATCTTCCGCAATATCGCAGCCTTTTGCAACGAGAGTATCTTCGGACTGTCCAAATATCGGATGCGGGGCAGCATTGAGCACTGCATCAGGGTACCTCCTTCGTAATCCTTGATGTAGCCCATCCAGACCTTCTTGGGCAACGTGATTTCCTTCGTGAACCCCTGCTTCTTGAAATACCCGATCGCATAGTTATCGGCATACGTCAAAAAGTACTTTATCTTTGTGGTGCTGCGGACGTAGTCCTTCAAGTGGTTCATCAAGTGCGCACCGTAGCCTCTCACCTGCTCTGTCGACGAGATGGCACAAAAGACAATCTCGGCAAACTCGTGGCTCTCGAATGGCCGGATAGTGATACCACCAACCACAGTCAACGGTTTCCTTACCACCGCTATGGACACATGCGAGCGGTCGTACACTAGTCTCGCGATGTACGCCTTGGGCATCTCGGGCAACTGTTTCTGGAAGATGTTCTTCAACCCCGTCAGAACGATCATGTTGTCACGCGTGTCGTCGTTGTTCACAACCCGGAACTCAATTTTCCCCTCTCTCTCCTCAATCACCGACGGCCTGTCTTTGTACGTGTATGTATAGCCATCAAACTGGTAGCAGTGGAGCTTCTTCTTCTCCTCAGCGTCGACATCTTCGGCGTCCTCTCCGCCCCCCTCTTCCGGCTTTTGCTCATCCTCCTCGTTCTCCGCAGCATCTTCTGCGGGATTCTCTGGGCTCCCGTCGTTGCTTGCGTCATCCTGGTTTTCCATGTCATCGTCGCTGCCGTCCTCATTGTCATTGTCATCGTCGTTGTCATCGCCGTTGCCGTTGCCGTTGCCAGCGCCATTTTCTCCCTTCACGTTTGACTTCCCATTTCTGACATGCTTTCCCGAAGTTGAATTATCTTCACCTTCTGCACCCTCCTCACCACCAGCTTCGTTCTCGTTGTTTTCGCTGGCCTCTTCAGTGTCCCCTTGGCTTTCTTCCTTATCACCTTCGGCCTTCGTCCGGCCCTTGGGCAGATGCTCTTCGGCGTCAACAAAATCGTCACCCTTGCCTCCCTTCACCGCAGCATTCTTCGGAAGCTCCTCCCCAACAATGGAATCTTCTTCTTCATCTACGACATCGTTGTCCGCACCTGCGTCGCCGTTGTTCTCGTCCTCTGTAACGGACTTGCCGCCATCAGCTCTTCTAGTCCGTTTGGTCTTATTGTCCTGCGGCACCGGACTCGATGCCCCCGCCTTCCTTTTCGCCTGAGCCATCAATCACCACCAAGCAAACCAAATAAGCAGATCAAATAAATCTTACTCCGACCTCGGTAGCACAGCTGCGTCCAGCAAACAGCCACTTATCTGGCCAAACCCCTGGACCTTCTAGTGTGCCAAAACATGTTGGCATCCGTCTGTTTTTCATCCTCGAGATTTCCCCTGGAGCCGCCGATCGGCCCCAAAGGGAAGAAGTCAGAAGTCAGAAAGCAAATTTCCTATCGAGTATCGAGGAAAAGAAAAATAATATAAAATATTTTTTCCCCGAGAGGCCGTACGTACATCAAATCAGGCAGGGATACAGGTGGATGGCAGGGGTCTGGCAAATGTTTCTCTCGTGCTTTCTGGGCTCTGACAGCTAGCTTCATCTCGACGACACTGTTTTCAGCCGATTCAAGCGTTTGGAAACTTGGAGTATAATCTTCGGTTTTCCTGTTTCAAAATGGCTTCTTCAACCGAGAAAATGCTCATCTTACCGGGCTCTCAAGCTTTGTCGAACTTCAGGGTCTCGAACTTGATTTCCGACATCAACAGCTCCGTGAACTCCTCCATAGTCACCGACGTGAAGTCGTGCCACGTGCACTATGTCCACACACAAGGCGGGTTGGACGAGCAGACAATTGAAAAGCTCAAGGTTCTTTTGAAGTACGATAACGAGCTCGATTTATCGGACGAGAAGAACAAGTTGCTCAACGAGCTTGTTCAGATAGACGGCGACCACTCCGACTCGGCAGCCAAGGTTGAACAGCTGCTAGACTCTGATACCTACTTGATCAGAATCTTGCCAAGATCGGGAACCATCTCTCCGTGGTCTTCCAAGGCTACCAACATCACGGAGGTCTGTGGCTTGGGCGACAAAGTCGAGCGGGTTGAAAGAGGCATGGCAATTCTACTCAAGGTGAGACCAGGCTTCCCGATCATTGAGTTGTTCAAAAAGGACCAGTTTGCGTGCTTTGCTTCTGTCTATGACAGAATGACGCAGGCACTCTACATCAACGAATCAGTTCCAAAATACAATGATCTCTTTGAAGACAACAAGCCTAAGCCTTTGGTTCACGTCGACATTATCGATTCCAAGGACAACCTCATCAAGGCAAACAAGGACCTTGGTTTGGCCTTGGATGAGGGAGAAATCTCCTACTTGGTGGACGCATTCAAAAACATTCTTCACAGGAACCCAACGGATGTCGAATTGTTCATGTTTGCGCAGGTCAACTCCGAGCATTGCAGACACAAGATATTCAACGCCGACTGGAACATTGATAACGTTCAGAAGGATATGTCTCTGTTTCAGATGATCAGAAACACCCACAAGTTGAACCCACAATACACCATCTCTGCCTACAGTGACAACGCTGCAGTGTATGAAGGTTCTCCTGCTTACTTCTACGGACCTAACATCGAAAAGAAGAACACCTGGAGTTCGACAAAGGAATTCGTTCATACTCTCATCAAGGTCGAAACACATAACCACCCAACTGCGGTGTCTCCTTTCCCGGGTGCAGCAACTGGTTCTGGTGGTGAAATCAGAGATGAAGGTGCAGTTGGTAGAGGTTCGAAGTCCAAATGTGGTTTGTCTGGTTTCAGTGTCTCGGACTTACATATTCCTGACCTGAAGCAACCGTGGGAATTAGCAATCGGCAAACCAAACCATATCGCGTCCCCTCTAGATATTATGATTGAAGCACCATTAGGCTCTGCTGCTTTCAACAATGAATTCGGCAGACCTTGTATTACAGGTTACTTCAGAACTTTGACGACTACCGTCAAGAACTTAGAAGGTAAGGACGAAGTCAGAGGTTTCCACAAGCCAATCATGATTGCAGGTGGTATGGGTGCAATTAGACCACAATTGGCGCTAAAGTCGGATTTCAAGATCACTCCAGGATCGGCTATCATTGTGCTAGGTGGCCAATCAATGTTGATTGGTTTGGGTGGTGGTGCTGCTTCTTCTGTTGCATCTGGTGAAGGTTCTGCTGATTTGGATTTTGCCTCAGTTCAAAGAGGTAACCCTGAGATCCAAAGAAGAGCGCAACAAGTCATCGATGCCTGTAACAGTTTGAGCGTCGACTCTCCTATTCAATGCATCCACGATGTCGGTGCAGGTGGTTTGTCCAATGCATTGCCTGAATTAGTGCATGACAATGGTTTGGGTGCAAAGTTCGAATTGAGAGATATTTTGTCCTTAGAGCCAGGAATGTCACCAATGGAATTGTGGTGTAATGAATCCCAAGAAAGATACGTCCTGGGTGTTGCACAGAACAACCTCGAACTCTTTAAACAAATCTGTGAGAGAGAAAGATGCCCATTCGCAGTTGTCGGTACAGCCACCAGTGAACAGAAGTTGATTTTGACCGACAAATTGCTTGGCACAACTCCAATTGATTTAGAAATGTCACTATTGTTTGGTAAACCACCAAAAATGTCAAGAACAGATTTCACAAAGAAGCTAGATCTTGCTCCCGTGGATTTAGCCGGTGTTGCTTTGACCGATGCATTGTCTAGAGTTTTACAGCTACCTTCCGTGGGTTCAAAATCTTTCCTTATCACTATTGCTGATAGAACCGTTACTGGTTTGATCGATAGGGATCAGTTTGTTGGAGCATGGCAAGTACCTGTTGCCGACGTTGGTGTTACTTGCACTTCTTTAGGTGAAGAGCTAATTAAGACGGGTGAAGCTTTGGCTATGGGTGAAAAGCCAACTATTGCCATCATCGATGCAGCCTCATCTGCCAAAATGTGTATTGCAGAGTCTTTATTGAACATTGCTGCTGCAGATATTAAAACTTTAGATATGGTTAAATTATCTGCTAACTGGATGTCATCGGCATCAACCCCAGGTGAAGGTAGTGCATTATATCAAGCAGTGCAAGCCATTTCTATGGACTTATGTCCTGCCTTAGGGGTTGCAATTCCAGTCGGTAAAGACTCTATGTCCATGAAGATGACTTGGGATAATAACACCGTTATGGCTCCTCTTTCGTTGATCATTACCGCCTTTTGTGGTGTTACTGATACTTCCAAGACTTGGACTCCTCAATTGCAAAGCATCAAAGATGAAACTGTTTTGGTGAAGGTTGACCTTGCATCAGGAGTGCCGAAATCTTTGGGTGGATCTGCAATCGCACAAGTTTACAGCCAAGTTGGTGACACTTGTCCAACTGTCCATGATTCTAAGGCCCTCAAGGGATTTTTGACTGCTACAATTGAATTACATAACAAATTTGATGTTTTGTCTTACCACGATATTTCCGACGGCGGTCTCATTGTGACCTTGTTGGAGATGGCATTTGCCGGTAGATCTGGGTTGAACATAGAATTAAACGGCAAGCAAGATGCTTTGACCGAGCTTTTCAATGAAGAACTAGGTGCCGTTTTCCAAATCAGAAAGTCTGAGTATGAACAATTTGTGAAGATCTTTGAATCACACGGCGTTGGCCGTAACAACATCTCAGTTGTTGGTCAACCTGTATTCGATTGTGACCAATTGATCAACGTTAGTTTCAACGGGGAGACTGTTTTGAATGAGACAAGATCCAAATTACAAGAGCAATGGAGCTTAACTTCATACCACTTACAAAGGCTCAGAGATAATCCACAGAGTGCTGACCAAGAGTATGCACTCATTGCTGACAACAATGACCCTGGTTTGACATATGCGCTAACTTTTGAGCCAAGTAACGACTTGGGCCTAAAGTCTTTGAGCAGTAGACCAAAGGTTGCAATTCTAAGAGAGCAAGGTGTCAACGGCCAACAAGAAATGGCATGGAGTTTCCAACAAGCTGGATTCGAGAGTGTTGATGTCCATATGACCGACATCATCTCAGGCAGAGTTTCTTTAGATGACTTTGTTGGATTGGCAGCATGTGGTGGGTTCTCGTACGGTGATGTCTTAGGAGCAGGTAACGGTTGGGCCAAATCCGTTTTGTACAACGAAAGAGCCAGAAACGAGTTTTCCAAATTCTTCAACGAGAGAAGCGACACATTTGCCTTTGGTGCATGTAACGGTTGTCAGTTCTTGTCCAAGATCAAGTCCTTGATCAAGGGTACCGAAGACTGGCCAAGTTTCGAGAGAAACAAGTCCGAGCAGTACGAGGCCAGAGTCTGCACATTGGAAATTTCCCAAGATCTGAACGCAAACCCATGCATATTCTTTGACGGCATGGCTGGTTCTAAGATACCGATTGCCGTTGCGCACGGTGAAGGTCGGGCACAATGGGAAAGCGACGAGCAGATGAACAAGTTTGTCAAGAACGGCTTGGTTGGTGCTAGATATGTCGACAACTACGGTGTTCCAACGGAGAAGTACCCATTGAACCCTAACGGTTCGCCAAACGGTATCACTGCTGTCAGAAGTGAGAACGGTAGAGTGCTTGCTATGATGCCTCATCCAGAGAGAGTGTGCAGACTGGAAGCCAATTCCTACTATCCTGCTGAGGAGAGCAAGGAATGGGGTAAATACGGTCCTTGGATCAGGTTGTTTAGAAACGCCAGAAAGTGGGTTGCTTCCAACGAAGGAAAATGAGTCTTTTCCACTGACCCCACCCTCTGTATTTGCACTGCACTATACATACACAACCTTATAAACGTTTTACAATCTCGCAAGCTCTTTCAAGAGCAGTTTAATAATTACACTTCTTGTACGACATCTTTGTGTCTGTTTTCTTCCTCCATTCGGCTCACCTACCGCATTCGGCCGGACCAACATAATAAAAAAAAGAAAAAAACATTACGTAAGCAGAATGCTCTAAACGAGACGTCGTACCTCGTACCCGTCGTATAGAACCCTGAAAAATTCTTGCCTGCAGCGGCAGCGAGGGTGAAAATAATACACAAAAAGAGCTGCAATACGATAAGTGCCGAGGAAGTTGCAGGAGAAGAAGCAACTGGGGTAACAGGTTGGACGTGTTCTTTCTAAGCTTGAGGCCTTGCTGAGCGATCACAAAACCAAACGGACCACTGAATCAGTAGTGTGTGAAAATGAGCAAGTATGTGAGAGTAGAATGGGAGGGATGGAAGAGAGAGGAAAAGCAGAAGAGGGAGAAAAAGCAACGTGTGTGTTTGGTTGCCTGGCTTTTCCTACGGAAGCAGATTCACTAACATGAGCTATATGTATATTCTACAGCGTTTTCGGGTCCAATTCAATCGACATTCCGTCGAAAGAGTCCATCTGGCAAGTCTTCCAGACCGTGAAGGACATTCCAGGCTTAAACCTCGTGGAGAAAGCGTGGGCAAGCTACTATGTTTACATGGACAACGATTTGTTTGCAACTGGTTTGCTATTCTTCTTGCTCCATGAGGTGATGTATTTTGGCAGATGCTTGCCATGGTACATCATTGACAGAACACCATACTTCAAGAAGTACAAGATCCAGCCGAACATCTACCCGTCCGACAAGGAGCAGTGGGAGTGCACGAAATCTGTGTTGAAATCACACTTTTTCGTGGAAGCGTTGCCAATCTGGTTCTTCCATCCGATTTGTGAGAAGATTGGGGTTTCCTACGATGTTCCATTCCCTTCGTGGTCCAAGATTGCACTGCAGGTGTCGATCTTCTTCTTCTTGGAGGACGCATGGCATTACTGGTTCCACAGAGGTATCCACTATGGGTCCTTCTACAGAATCATCCACAAGCAACACCACAGATACGCGGCACCTTTCGGGTTGGCTGCCGAATACGCCCATCCGATCGAAGTCATGCTCTTGGGATTTGGCACTGTTGGCATTCCGATCGTCTGGTGCTACTTCACGAGAGACTTGCACTTGTTCACAATCTGCATCTGGATTACCCTCAGGTTGTTCCAGGCCATCGACGCACACTCGGGCTACGAGTTCCCGATCTCGTTGCACCACTTCCTCTTGATATGGGCTGGCGCAGACCACCACGACGAGCACCACCACCACTTCATTGGGAACTACGCGTCTTCTTTCAGACTGTGGGACTACTTCCTCGACACCGAGGCTGGCGACACTGCCAAGAAGACCAGGGAAAAACACAGCAAAACTAGGGCTGAACTGATGGCCCAAAAGACGTGATTCCGTCATCTCTGGATTTCCCCCTTTCCCCCTCCCTTACTCCTCCCTCTCTGTGCTACTACAACTCGGGCCAGCTATATTTAGTGTATATATAGAGGCAAAAAATATTCCTTCAATGTTTTAATAACAGTAATATAACCAATAACCAATAACCAACTTCCATGTAGCGAAAAAACCCTTTTTTTTGCTTCGAAACTTGAAAAAAACGCGTTTTTCTCTACGAGAGGAAGAAACTGCAGTGTGCCAACTGATATAAGAGCTCTTCTTCTGCAGAGGCTGCGGTACTTCTTTTCCCTCCTCTTTTTCCTTTTCTCTTGTGGACCGTTCTTTTGGCGGGGAGGGACCACTGGTAGAAGCCTGTTGAACAGGCCATGCCGAGGGGAGCTGCCCCACATAGTAGTAGTTGGCACTTTTGCCAGCATGCGTCAATGAAGTGGACGATCACCGTGCAGGCGCATGGGTCTATTTCATTTGATAGATACAGAGGTTTTACTATGATGATACACAATTAACACAGACCTGTACTGATTCTTCGGAATCTGAAGATAAATTAATTGTTGCCTTTTGGCTGACCTAAAACACTCTTGTATCTATCTATTCTTTTCTCCTAGTAGCATTTCCTCCCACGTAGTGGAACTCGAGTACTTCTGTAGAACTTTTGCACCGTACACCCTCACGTACAAGCTGCCCGTAGCAGATATCCGCCCGAAGAAGAGCAGTTGAACTTTCCGAGAAAAAATGGCATACACGGCCTAGCTTGAGAGTGTATTTTTTGACTTTATTTTTTGCTGATATACAACAGACTAAAGAGGAAAGTTTTTATAACTAAAACTGTGTACATTAATTAGAAAGAGAAGTTTTTAAAGATCTAAAAAGAAAAAACTTATTTCTTAGCAGTTAATCTTCTCAAGTAGAAAGCTAATTCCTCACCTTCTAAAATGTAACCGTCACATCTACCGGATTGACCTGGTCTGGAAGAGATTGCAGCATACAATTTACCAGAAGCGAATTGAGCAGCAACAGCGGCTTCGATCTTGGATTCGTCGGCTCTAGCAGCCAACTTCTTTTGGACGCTCTTGGATCTCTTCGTTTCGTCAGCAGCAACGGTACCCTTCTTACCTAAAACTAAACCGTAGTGGGATTCGTAGTATTGCTTGAATGGGGTAGCATCGATCTGGACAATGGCAGACTTGGTCAAAGTGTTAGTTCTAACCAACTCGTTGTTGGATGGGTGGTAGACGACAACATTGATTCTGGTCTTTCTAGAAACACCCTCAGAAGCCCACGAGAAGTTACCGGTTTCGATTCTGATAGCTCTGAACTTGGAGTTACCACCTCTAGTTCTGACACTGTGGATTCTCTTAGGACCGATCTTGGTGTTAGCACCTTGTCTACCTAACTCAAACTTTCTCTTCTTTCTGTATTGAGCTCTCTTGGCACCAGTGGCAGCTCTCTTGTGACGAGAATCTCTTGCAATACCCATGATGACTGTAGTAGAAAAAAAGTAAAAAAAAAGGAGTTAGTAAAATGTTCGACAAATATTGCAAATATTTATGTTTTCCTGCTTCAAGGGTGAAAAGTTTGGGTAGTTTTGCGCTGTTCTTCCAGTCACATCCAGACTGCAGCCCCTGTAGAAGCCAGAAGGCCTTGTCGTGTGTGGATATCCATGATTTTTTTTCACTTGTGCATCCTTCCTCTGCCAAAGGACCATTACTGCATTCCACCAGCAACGCTCCAGTAAGTTACCCAAAGCTAGAGCCTGCACACCTCCACTGCTCTGCTCTTCATGACATGTTCTGGCTTACTTTTCTTCACTACTTGGCCTTTTAATTTTCACTGCTGCTTGTTTTCTCTCCTTCAACTCGCAAATCAAACTTTCACCTTGAATAGTTTTCTCTATGTGTCTAAGGGAACTTACATTATTGTGTGGTTAATGTAACAAACTCAAAAGCTAACCGTACAGTTCAACAGTGTCAGTCCAGTAAGAGAAGTTTTCCGTTCTGAACTGAAAAAAGTGCATACACTGAGAGAGGCCTCTCGCCGAGACCACCAGAGAGTGTGCCCCAGGCGAGTCTGCACAGTGGCACGCAGGGCCGCCAGAGGCCTACCACACACTGTACAGCGGCCGGGAGCGGGCGCCTGTCAGAGCGGCAGGGAGAAAGTACAGCAGAGAGGCCGTAGCGCGGCGGGGGAGGGCGCGGAGCGGGACTGTAACCCGCGCACCGCACGCTGGGCGGTTTGGGCAAAAATGTGCAGTCACGAGTCACGTGGAGGGCATAAAAGATCACGTGTGTAAAAAGCCCTGTTTTTATTTCATTTTTTTTTTTTTTACGGAGTTTAAATTTTTCACTTCAATAGACAAACAGACACTATTTCTACACCCCATCTGTCGCCTTTACCACGTTTTGCGTTCGTTTCTCCACCGTCTTTCATCTCTACCAGCCCCCAAACCCCCGCCGGATGTCCGAAACTATATACGACCAGATCGAGATCGAAGACTTCACCTTCGACCCCGACACCCAGCTCTTCACCTACCCGTGTCCGTGTGGCGACCGGTTCCAGATTTCCATCTACGACATGCAGGAGGAGGAGAATATTGCCGTGTGTCCGTCGTGCTCGCTAATGGTCGAGATCATCTTTGAGCCAAGCGACCTGGAGGAGTACCTTGATCAGATCTAGGCGGTCGCTTTGCCCCGGTTTGCCCACTCCGCTGTTCCAGGCGCTGTGGTGGAAAAAAGAAAAAAAACTTGATCACAGTGATGTCAAGCAGGGAGGCCAACAGCACACACACAGCTCCAGAGGGCCACTCGTTGTTGACCCCGTCTATGTTCGAAGCCATTAACATCCTTGGACAAAGGTCCCAGCTTCGCATCTACACGCAGATCACTCTCGGCTACGAGACGCCAGGCGACTACCACGTCGACGACGCCGTTTCCGTCTTCAAAGCCGGACTCGCAAGGCTGGCGGCGTGTGTTCCATGGCTTGCAGGGAGCATCGAGGACGAGAACGGCGTCACCGGGATCTCTAGCACCCCCGGCGAAACCATCAGTCTGGCAGTGGAGGATATGCGACAGGAAGAAAGCACCCCCTGTTTCGCAGAGCTGAAGCGGATGGGGTTCCCAGCCCGGTTCTTCAGCGAGAAGCACTTCTGCTCCAGAATGACGATTCCAGGCACGCACGGCGAGACTCTCGGTGGAGACGAGCCTGTGTTCCTCGTCCAGCTGAACATCGTCGATGGCGGCATCTTCCTGTCGTTCATCGCGTCACACGCTGTCCTGGATATGGTCGGCCAGGCCTCCGTTATGCGGCTCTTATGCGAGCTCTGCGACCCGTCAAAGAAACCCTCGCATGAGGCGCTTTTGAACACGCAGTTGAAGCGATCCACAATCCCTATCATACCAGATACCCCATCAATGGCTGCCGCTGAGGAACTTTTCATTCAAAAGCCGATATCTGTCGCCCCAGAAGACCTTTCGGGCGCTTGGAGATACTTCGATTTCACCAAGGAAAAGCTCGAAAGGCTCAAGACAGCCTGTGCAAAAGAGATCACAGAAACACCTTTCATCTCGACTGACGACTGTTTATGTGCCTTGATATGCAAGACCGTGACAAGAGCACGCTCAAACAGAGTCGACCCGTCCCGTCATATGAAGTTCGCTCGGGCTGTTGACGCACGAAGTCTTTTCGAGCAAGACCCACACCAGATAGGGGTGTGTTTAAACATGACGTTCAACAGGTGGCCCATCAGGGAGGTCACTGATCAGCCCCTAGGGGTACTCGCCTCACAGCTCCGAGGTAAACTCTCTGACCGTGTGTACCTGAGGGAAACAGTCATGGTGTTTGGGTCAATGCTATCCAGAGCAGGCGAAGCTGGAACTGACGGGCCCCTGCTCTCTATGGCTGGCACTGTCGACCCCTCTGTCGACGTACAGATTAGCTCGTGGTCTAAACTAGACTGTTACGAGAATGATTTCAATCTCGGTCTCGGCAATCCAACAGTCGTGCTACGCCCAACATTTGTTCCAGTCCCGGGGTTGGTCTACTTCCTACCTAGGCGCTCCGATGGCGGAGTGTCTGTAACATTATGTCTGCGAGACGACGATATGACACAGTTTGTCAGCGACCCTCTGCTACTTCTCTACGGAACCCCAATAGAGTAGAGTAACAGTCCCAAAATTGAATGCATCGTTATATTTTTTCCCCATTTTTCAGTTTATATAGAGCTTCAGTGTATAAAAAAGTAGTCTGTTTCCTTGTGAGTGGATGCGCCTCAAATCACACTTCTGGCAACAAAAACCAAAACGACAACCAGTATCACGTACAGATAGTACTTATTTGGGGTTTTTGCGTTGTTCTTGTCACTAGTTAGGGCCTCCTTCTTTCCGGCACCTGAAACAGCAGCAGCAGCAGCAGCAACTTTCTCGCCCTGCGACTTGATCAAGCGGGCACGTATCCTATCTTCCGGATCCTGGATCTTCTCTATGTTGTCAACCACCTCACTTTCCGTGACACTGGGCGTCCCCGCAGCCACATCCTGGCCAGCACGGCTTTGCGTGTTTGCATTGGCCCTTCTGCTCTTCAGCTCCGCCACGTTCTGCTCCCAAAGGTCGGGGAACACCTCCTTGAATGGAGGGTTGGAATACGTGTTAAACTCCTTCGACTTGACCGCCAGTTGCTCTTTCGTGTGAGTGGACGTCACAATACTCCCGGTCGTGCGCTCGTCCCCGGTCATAAATGACAACAACCCTGTAAGGATCGTCGCCACCGACCAGGAAGGGTTCCACGACTCCTCGTGGAAGTCACTCATACTCAGACACAACCGCTGATTGATTTCGAAACGGCCCGACGGGGTGCACATCTTGATCCGAGGTGGCTTGAATGGATAGTCGTTCGGAAACGTAATTCTCCCGTGGTACTGTCCGTTCTCGTACGGGGTCCCCGGCGGGCCCGTTATTACGTAGTGGCAGTCCAAGATGTTCAACTCCGATGGTCGAGCAATGATGAATGGAGGAGGATTCGCCTCTATCTGCTTGTACTCCTTATTGAGTCTCTTGTACGCCTGTGTGGACATTTCTGGTTGCTGTTTTTCTATGGCTTGTCTGCTTTCTCTTCTCTGTCGGCTGCACACTGGTTCCTCTTTCTGACCTTCTGTTCTCCGTTTCTTTACCGCCTCTGTTCCATTCGGCCCGGTGTCTTGGCTTGTCCTCCGTCTTCACCACCTCCCTGGTGCACGGTTGACGAATGGCAACATGTTTTTTCCCCATGGCTGTAAATTTTTTTCCTCTGCCTTTTCTCCTGTACAAACCAAGAATCCGGGGAATCGGAGAGGCCAATGCAGGGAAACGCAGCCGGGAAAAGAGACAGAACATCAGAGCGACACCGGTCAGAGCAAAGCATGGAAAAGGATACAACCATGTCGAACAAGGAAATCAAAAACAATATCAAAGTGCTTGCAGCCAACTCCCACCCGGAATTGGCAAACCTTATCTGCAAGAGGTTGAACGTGAAGCAGTCGGACATCGAAGCCATCCAGTTTGTTAACAAGGAGAGCACGGTCATTGTGCGTGAATCTTTAAGAGACGAGGATGTTTACATCATCCAGACGGGGTGTGGAGGCTTTGAGAAGCTCAACGATTACATAATGGAGCTTCTTTTGATGGTACACGCATGCACTCAAGCGTCGGCAAGATCGATCACGGCCGTCATACCTAACTTTCCCTATGCTAGACAGGACCGGAAGGACAAGAGCAGGGTGCCGATCAGCGCCAAACTCATTGCAAACCTCCTCACAACTTCCGGCTGTGACCATGTCATAACAATGGACTTGCACGCTTCCCAAATCCAGGGGTTTTTCAGCATACCCGTTGACAACCTATATGCGGAGCCGAACGTGCTCAAATGGATCAAAGACAACTACAAGGACACAAACAACGTGATGATGGTGTCGCCTGACGCCGGTGGAGCCAAGAGAGTGGCATCCTTGGCAGACAAGTTGGACACGCAGTTTGCGTTGATACACAAGGAGAGAGCCAAGGCCAACGAGGTGAGTAGAATGGTTTTAGTTGGTGACGTCAAGGGGAAGAGCTGTATTTTAGTAGACGACATGGCAGACACGTGCGGTACTCTCTGCAAGGCGTCGGACATCCTTCTTGCAGAAGGTGCCAAGGAAGTCATTGCCATTGTCACCCACGGGATTTTCAGCGGGAATGCCATCGAGAGGTTGAATGGTAGCTCTTTGAAAAAGATTGTCTGTACCAACTCCATGCCATTGAGCGAACACGTCAAGCAATGTCCAATATTGGAGATTGTAGACATAAGTCCGATTCTGGCAGAGGCCATAAGAAGACTACACAACGGTGAATCCATATCATATCTTTTCAATAATGTTGTGGTATGATAATACGACTCGAGTAAGAAAAGTAGTGTGTTGTGTATGTCGTTGTTAATTTCTATATATTTTATACTTTCAATTTCTTAATAGATTCATGCATATGTACAAAATAGGGTATTCTGTGTTGACGTGTGCTATTTTTTCTTTTCCTGTTTCCTAGCCAAATCACCCCAATATTTAGACTTTTGCATATCTTTTTCACATCCCACACCAAGCTCGTAGAATCTTTCCAGCAAAAGCATGGCCTTGTTGTGTTTATAATTCTCGGCAGCCCTAATGGCCCACGCAAATGCTTCGTCATAGTCCTGCGGCAAGTGCTCACTGCCAACAAAGTACCATGAGCATAGTCCCATCATTCCATCAGCATCACCTAGATTGGCGCTCATGTTGTAAAAATGGATTGACAGATCTGCATTTGCCTCAACAATGTCCCCAATCTCGTAGAACTTACCCAGCATAGTGGCGGATTTCGCATGTCCAAGATTGGAGGCCTGGAAAAGTAATTTGACAGCATAATTTGTATCTTTGATGACAATATCCTTGAAACCGTTCATATAAATCAAAGCCAGTTCATACGGGGCACCACAACTCATCTCTGTTGCACACTCTGTAGCACGCCTTAACCAACTGATCCCTTTTTTCTTGGTATTCACATCCTCTGGAAAACTCATTAACCCATGGAAAGCATATATACCATATTCCATCATGGCGACTGGATGGTTGTTAATCGCTGCAATTTCAAGATATTTGACAACTTTTCTTGCATCTCGTGTACACCCCCATCCCTTTTTGTAGCACATAGCAGTTCTATATGCACTCTCTGCATGCTTAGCCTTTGCAGCAGACTCAAAGTATGTCAATGACTTGTTCAATTCGGGCTTGCCCTTGCTGAATAACCCTACAGAAAATGCATCACCAAGGTAGTACTGCGCTTCGATACAGCCCGACTTACTTGACTTTTTGAGAGCGGTAAACGCCTCGTCAAGGTATTTCTCCTTTTCCTTCTCACTCAGCGGATTATCACTCCTGTTTGAGAGTGACGTTCTAATTAAGATCTGGGCAAATGAAAACAAGATATCTGGGTCCTTGGTTTTTTTTGCATTTTGCCTGTACATATCAATTGAAGTACCCATTGGCAGCAGATTCACATTGCTTTTGGTAGTAGACAGCTTCTCTGTGTTGAGGTTAATGTTGGTGCTTTCACCTAGGGCAGTAGTATTACCACCAATATAAGTTGTTGTATCACTTTTAGGGATTTCGATTTCCGTTAGGTTATCGACGTTGTTATATACAGGGTGGAACAAGTTTAGTGTGGATTTGGTCTTCTTGTGTAGCCCCATAGGTCTTTCTTCTTGTTCACCTTTTGAATTAACTGTGCTGCTTGTATTTGTTGCAACATCGTAACCATTGTTATTTTTGGCCATTGCCAGGGTCTGGCTATAAGTGGTGGCAGTGGTGGGAACCTGAGCATGTGCAGGTGTGGGAGGTGGAACAGCAACATAGTATCCGTCGTCCTCCCCATCATTGTCAGCGTCGGCATCGGTGCTGATCGAGGTAAAGTTGCTGTAGTGGTCAATAGTGGTATCCCTACTTTTAGGTTCACTCCCATATGGGTCCAAGTCTGGAAGCTCAAGCTTCTGTTCATAATTTAACTGGTTTTTCGGAATAGTTTGGGGCACAGGTAAGTGTGATTGGGGAGGAGCGTTAGCAACATCCGGCTTGCTGCCACTGTCGTTGTTGCTCGAGGAGCTCTTCAATGATGTGTAATAGCTTGAACAGTCATCCTCCGCAAGCAAGGCACGTATGCTGTTGGTAGGCTTGGAGGAGTGCAAAGCAACAGACTGGAAAGAGCGCACAGGACTATTAGAGGTGGAACTTCCCCTCGGTGACCGGCCAATTGAGGAGTCGAAGGACTGATTTCGAGGAGAAGACATGTACAACGACTCCATTGACTTCGACAAGTCCGTTGGCAATTGTTGCAGGTAGGGATGGGATTTGCGGGAGGTAGCAGCAAATTGCTGCTTAGCCAGCAGCTGGTGAGGTCTGATAAGTGGAGAGCCGTTGTTGTTGCTCTGTTTCACCTTCTCCGGGAACTTCAAGTTCACCTCGTCGCTGTTTCCTGGCAGCTGCATCCTATACGGGTGGGACATTGTGTATGTGTGCTTGTATATATTTGGTTGAATTTCTACGGGATTCAAGCTCTATCTGTGGGGCTGTTGCTAACGAATGTAAATACCGAGAATGCTCCAATGGGACTCTGCAGCCTTGAAAGTTTCTTTGTTTTCGGGGTTTCCCGTCGGTCCTCTATGTTTTCCCTTCTCCACGCAATGCTGGATACTCAGCGTTTAGCAATAGTTAGGTCGGTAGACGACACAAGAGCAGCAGCAACAGTCAGTGCCAGGGCTGTTCAACTCAGTATGACACCAACAGTAGAGGGTTTCCACTCGTATTGAGCCATCCGACAACGACTGGCTTTCACCTACGACGAGACCAGACAAACCGAGACGGGAGAGACGAAACGGGACTTTTTCCTCTTCTTTCGAGACGGCAACAGAACGCGGCCGAACAAAAAGAACGGAAAAGGTGGGGACGATAGCAGGCCCTAGTCACCCGGGAAGGCGGAAGAAAGGGGGCAGGGGTAAGGGGTATCTACTAGAGAGAGCCAAGGAGAGCAATGCTTAGAAAGTTCAAGTCCAGGACACAGCCGAAGGACAGAACGGCAGAGAAAGACCGAGATGATAGGAGAAACAGAGAGAAGGGCCGGAGAGTGAGAGGAGAGGCCGACGACTATCACGACCACCACCATAGGGCGGCTGGACAGGATCGAGAGAAGGAGCAGGCAAAGCATGAAGACCGGCGAATGTCGATGTCATCCCTTGTGTCAAACAATACCAAGGCAGGTGACTCTAACGAGAAAATCTCCCGTCGTTCTTCCATCAGGATCCCCCACTCGGCCACGTCTGCGACCTTCAGCATAGGCAACAGCAACGGCAACAGCAACAGTGGCAATGGCAACGGCAATGGCTATAGTAACTCTCCCGAAAATGGCTACGCTCTCAAGAAGGGGAATAGCTATTTGGCAAGTTCGAGTGAAGGTGCAAATGCGCTTTCACGGTCGGCGGCTTCCTCAAAGGACGAAGCTGCCCACAAGAGGGGTTTGAATGTGGTCCCGCAGACATTTTCTGCAGAAGAGGCTCGGAATTTAAAGTTCCACGTTACAAACAGTCTAAACCCACAAATGCCCTTTGGTGACGGGTCAGAGAAGCTATTCGGAATAGAGAACTTTGGATACATCTGCTATGTTTCCTCTATTTTCCAGTGCCTTTACCACACGCCACAATTTCGGAAAGCAATCTTGGAATATCCACCAAGGGTTAGTCCAATTGAAAGGAGAAGAAAGTTTACTGTCCCAGGTAAAGAGGTGGGCAAAGTTCCGCATGCTTTAACACCGCAACCGAATTCCATGAATCAGCAGAATTATACGAACAGAGCAGGCTCCAGTTCACCGGTGATACCTGCAACACCAAACTCACAGGGCTCCTCTGCTAATTTGTCGTCCACTTCAAGTGGCATGAGAAAGTTGAGTTTGTTCAGTAGGTCCAACCTAGACTCTTCATCATCGGTGTTGAGTAGTATTGATAACTCCGATGGCGCTGAAAATGGAGGTAACGATACCAATGCCATCTATAGCCAGTCAGATTTCACTGTTTCAGATACTCACAAGGATACGCAACTAGAAAAAGCGTTGACGGAAAAGTATCCTGCATTGAAGGACATTGAAACCAACTATTTTCTCAACAGCCAGAAAAATTTGACGCTTGTTGGAGTTATCGACGAACCATCTGCATCATTGGAATGGAGAAAAAAGGCGTCATTGATCAGAGGCCCAATCATCAACCTAGACGAGCCATTTCTGAAAGAATATGGCATGAAAGAGGAAAACATGTTCACAGTGATCAAGGACGCTTTCGAGTGTATAACAGAGAATGCGTCGAAAACAGGGGTTCTATCGCCATATAACTTGATTGATGTCATCAAGAGGGAAAATATACTTTTCAGAAACGCACAGCATCAGGATGCCCACGAGTTTTTGAATTTTTTAATCAATAACGTTCTTGAAAGTATGAAACAGTACAACAAGGAATCGATCATCACCGATATTTTCGAAGGAGAATTAACCTCTGAGACAAAATGTCTAACTTGCGACAACTCATCATACAGGAATGAGAAATTCTTAGACTTATCAATTGACTTAGAGCCGGACTCCTCAATTACTAATTGCTTAAAAATGTTTTCCAAAATAGAAATGCTAAACGAAAATAATAAATTTTACTGTGAAAATTGCTACTCATACCAGGAAGCTGCTAAATCGATCAAATTGAGAAAAATACCAAAGATTCTAGCATTCCACTTGAAAAGGTTCAAATATTCAGAGAAGTTGGATAGATTGGTCAAGCTTTTCTACCGTGTCGAATATGTGAAAACCTTAAGGATTTGTAATACTACCAAGGATTCAGAACAGCCTGATAAATTATACGAATTATATGGAGTGGTGGTTCATATTGGAGGTGGCCCCTACCACGGTCATTACGTATCTCTAGTGAAAACAGAGCTTTACGGCTGGCTGTTGTTTGACGATGAGACTATCGAAAAGATTGACGAGGATTATGTCTTTAAATTTTTCGGTGATGGATGCGGCTTGGCTACTGCGTATTTGCTATTTTACAGGGAAGTTGACGACGAAAAGAAGTTTTTTGAGGACCAGTTGTACAATGGACTCGATAGCGAATGCGACGATGCTGATCATAACTCTGCACATACTGCAGATCGAGGCTATTCCTTATCAGAAAGAAACAATGATAGCAGCAACAGCAACAGCGACGAACATAAAGGCGTAATCAACCACCGGTTTACATTCAAAAAGCCTACCATTTCCACAGCTACTTCCTCCTCTGCTTCCTCAAGCCCACCGGATGCAACCTTTTTTGAGGCCGAGGAACCATCAAACCCTATTGCCAATGACCCTACGATGCTTGCAGCACCATCCTCGCACACCGCTACGGCGACGCCTTTGACTACACCAGTTGTCTATCCTGAAACCAGGCTGCCACAGCGGCAGACCAGCGAAATTGCCCCCCTGAAATACACGGTGAACTCGAGTCAAGACCAGGTGGACGAGTTCGACCCATTTTCGCAAGCCGACTACGGTGACGTGAGCAGCTCCGGCTACGGCGGCGATCACATATCGAAAGTAACCACAAAGTCCACGATGGACACTGCGGGAACAACCGGGACTGCCACAAACGACACTCCGAAAGCCTCCCAGAGGCGCCGTAGCAGTCTGTTCCGTGGGCTCACCAATGATTCCCACAACACCGTCGCTGGCTCTCACAGTAACAGTGTGTCTACATCGGAATATACAAATACGGGTAGCAGAAGGAGCAGCATATTTGGGTTCCGGAAAAAGTCTGCCAACTAAATGCCGGGGCAACATCAGGGAACAGTAAGGTACATATATAGAAGAACCGTAGGTTAAGCGACAATCGAATACACTAATTGATTGACACGTTCGAAGAAAGCAGCATGTTTCCGAAAAGTGATACTGTGCCTCCTTTTTGGCCAGCGGCGAGCCCGGAGCGAAAATGTGTAGAGTGACATGATTTTTACACCTTTGTCCAGGAACAGTACAAGACGGACGGAAAAGAAGAAGAAATGGAGGGGAGGAATACGAGGGAGAGAGAGAGATAAGCTTCTTTAAGGTTGTTCACACAGACACAGAGAAAGAGACAATGGGCAGCCAACTGAATAAAAAGCTACTAGTGACGCTGCTTTTGGCAGGACTAGTGCTCGCTGGAGAAGGTATGCAGATGGACTCTCCTACTGACGATGCGAACGCACAGCTTGCAGGGTTGCACGAGCACTGGAGGAGCCGGACCTTTCACTGGTTAATCTCTTTGTTCTTTCTTGTGGTCTTCCCCTCTATTTCTGCTGCGTTTGCGGTTGCAAACCGACATACCACGTCGTTGCTCACACAGATTATCTGTGCTATCTATGCTGCGATCGAGGCGGTCATTCTGCGGTTCCCGGACCCGTCGGGACACGAAAACAGTGTTTCAAGAGGCACGGCATGGTTCTTGGCCTTTTTCTACTGCTTGACGATCTTCAACGGGTCTGTTGCTTACGGGTCGTTAGAGTTTGAGCGGACATTGCAGGAGTCCAAACTGAGATTCCTGCTACTGCCCTTCTCGATCTTGACGTACAAGCTCATGTCAGGCGGTTTGGTATTGTGTGGACTGATCAAGATGGCAATGAGCGTTGTTGCATTGTTGGGGTTCTGCTACGACTCCCACACGGGACAGTGCAATGCACACGGAATCATGGGGATGAGTTTCATACTCTACGGGTTCATTCTCTCGATGGTGTTGGTGGTTCCGTGGTTGAGGGTGAACAAGGGACCATATTCGCAAGAGTTGTACGATTCGACCGTGATTGCCATCTGGGGTGTTATCAACACGTTCACGGAACATCGCCCATGGGAGCCATGGTCCCACGGCGACTACCAGCACACGTCGATGGGCATCATCTTCTGGTGTGCCGGGCTTCTCGGGATGTTTTTGTCGTTGGGCAGGAGGAGGAACTTTGTGCCTGCCTTGACGTTGATTTTCACCGGTTACGCCATGGCGGAACATGTCCAGCACATGATCATTTCCACCAAGGTGCATGGGTTTTTCGGCTACGTCTTGATGCTAGGAGGGTTGGCGAGAATCATGGAGATCTCGTTCCTCCTCGACGACGACGATGCGGCCAAGGACGGCAAGATCAGAAGCTTCCAGTACTTGTCACCTTTTGCGTTGGTGCTTTCCGGCATCTTGTTCATGAGCGCCAACGAGGAGCAGTTGGTGCTTGTGGTGAACATGGGTGCGGACCACTCGTCGTACATCTTGACCATCTGCAGTGCTGCATGCATTTTGCAGCTCTGGCTCCTTGCTGTGTTGAGGTTGTACCTGAGACTCTGCGGCGTACAGGCCGATGGAAGCATGTACCAACGTCTCTCGGACCACGACGAGTTTGCTCCGCCTGCGACCCTCGACAGCGGCGTCGGCAACATGGAGCAGTTCCAGATGGAGGATCTCTCTGACCTTGAGAGCCACCCCTGAATAGAGCGCCCCGTAGAGGCAGTACCTGTGTATAAGTAGCATCCCAGTTGCATATTGTCAATAGATGGCACTTTCCGAAGCCCAGCTTACGTAACACGCACACCCCCACCGGGCGGCAAACCGTGCCGGAAGCGGCTATCGCAAGAGAAGGCGAGGAGGCGAGGAGTTCGAGGAGGGAGAGAAAGGGAAAAATATTTCAGACAGGTCCTCGGGCCATTAGTAATGTGGTGCCTTTCATTTGACGGGCCCGGGGCGGTTTGGGCGGCCCAGCAGAGAAAAGCATACCAGACTAGAGAGATGTCGTCGTTGTTGTCAGCGGACGATCTCAACGACTTTATCCGGCCGGGCGTGGCGTGCATCAAGCCCGTGGAGGATCTGAGAAAGGTGCCCGAGGGGGGGCCCCGGCATGTTGAGCTTGAGTTTGAGAGCGGGGACGGGGGCGGGCCTGCGGAGGTGGAGGTGGAGGTAGGCGCCGACGGCGAGATGGTGGAGGTGGAGAAGGGCGGCAGCGGGAGCCGGCGGCGGCTTGAGAAGGCGCAGATCTCGCTAGCGGACTGTCTTGCGTGCTCCGGGTGCATCACGTCGAGCGAGGAGGTGTTGATTTCGCAGCACAGCTTCCAGGAGTTCGTGAGCTTCTGGACGGAGCACGCTGCGGCGCAGGCTGCGGGAGAGCTGCACTACGTGCTGAGTCTGAGCCAGCAGGCCCGGGCGTCGTTTGCGAACGCGTTCGACGTGAGCGTGGAGGTGGCGGACCGCGTGCTGGCCCGCGTGTTTGTCGAGCACTACGGCTTCGAGTACGTGGTGAGTGTCGGAGTCGGGAGGCGGCTTGCGTACGCGGCGCAGTACGACGAGGTGGAGGCGAGGACGAAGTCCGAGCCCGAGCCCGCCGCCGGGGCCGCCGCCGGGGCCAACGTGCTTGCGTCCATCTGTCCCGGCTGGGTGCTCTACGTCGAGAAGACGCACCCGGAGCTTGCCGGACGCCTGAGCCGGGTCCGGTCGCCGCAGTACATCACCTGCCGGCTCGTCAAGGACGTCTTGCGCCGCGAGCGGGGCTACGAGCGGACCCAGGTGTACAACTTGAGCGTGATGCCCTGTTTCGACAAAAAGCTCGAGGCGTCGCGGGACGACGACGTGGTGGAGTGTGTCATCACCCCGCGGGAGGTGGTGAGCATGCTTCTTGAGGACGACCGTGTGGACCTGGAGCGGCTCATCGAGGACGAGGCCGCCGCCGCCGCCGCCGCCGGCGCGGCCGACTACGCTGCCTTTGTGCGCCGCGTCAGCCCCCCGGGCTGGTTTGCCGGCAACATGTACGGGTGGGGCGGCGACGCGGGCGACGAGTCCGGCGGCTACGCCGTGGCGTACCTGGAGCAGTACCGGCGGCGCCACGGCGTGACGGACGGGTGGGTGCGGACGGTGCGGGGCCGGAACGAGGACGTCTACGAGCTGCAGCTTGTGAGGGGCGGCGGCGCAGGCCCGGAGGAGGTTGTCTGCCGGAGCGGGGTGATCAACGGGTTCAAGAACATCCAGAACCTTGTGCGACGGCTCAAGGACCCGGCGAGGGCGAGGGAGGGCGCGCGGCCCCGGGGCGGTCTTCTCAAGAGCAGCCGGCGGCGGGCGGCGGCGGCGCACAAAGGCAGCGCAGTCGGCGGC